AGGTGGAGGGCCCGCAGCCGCGCCTTCGTCTGCAGGTTTTGTTTCGTCTGACGATTGTTCGTGGGCCTCGGCGGCTGCACCTTCTGCTGGCTGCCCAGGTTCAGCCGGCTTAGAATCAATCTTTGCATCGTCGGCATCAATCTTCGGGACCTTGGCGGCGATTTCACCAAGAAGGCCTGTGGCTTGATCTGGATCCATGCGCGGCCGGTGGAGATCCACAAGTCGGGCCGTTGCATAAACGACCTTATCATCAGTCTGGCATTGCTCCTCAGTGGAGGTACCTTCCATGCCCTGGATGTACGTTCTTTTCCGGTACACAGAACCCACCGGGTTGAGGCTGAGGTTCAGACGAGCTTGTTCCTCGAAGTCTTCACTAAACCCAGCATCGCCATCCATTTGCTCACGAAGCTCACGCAGTCGGTCCGAAGGGCCGTGCTGACCCCAGACCTTGCCCTCCAACTTGAACTGTGTTTTGGTTCTTTCAAGCTGTTTCTCCAGTCGTCCCAACAGCCTCTCTCTGTCTAGAATACCTCTCATGTGAGCAGGATCAGTCTCGGTTTCTTCGATGTTGGACTTCTTAGCATTTGATGCAGCGATATCTTGGGCGTCTCTAAGCATGAGGTACAGCTCTCGAGTCTCCAACTCATTTCGCTGCAACTCCTGGGCGCGGAGCCTCTGAACGTCCGCAAGCTCAGCCTTAACCATTTCGTTTTGCCTGCTCTGTAGCTCGATGATACCAGTCTGCTCCTCAATCTGCTTTTGCAGCTTCTTGACCAGACCATCCGCTCCCAGTTCAACCTGCGCTTTCATCTCATCTCGCTCAGCAATTGCGGCTTCCGCTATTTGGCGAGCTTCCAGGGATTCATCGTACGCCTGTCTAGCCTCTGCATCCGTATGGAGTCGATCCAACAAACTCTGTACAGTAAACGTTAACCCCTGCCGCAGGTCAAGATCCGGCAATCTCCTATCCATAGCCACATAGCTAAGCATGGCATCCACCAGCTGGTACATCCTGAGACCATCCTCCCCAGAATTTTCCCGGATGAGAAGCAGATGCTGCAGAGCTGAAAGAAAGTAGTCGTGAGCTCTGGTTCCATTGATACGAGTTGCGATGGCGTCCGTGATTTGAAGAGGGTCGTTCATGTCCTTTACATCACCTTCGATGCTATCCTTCGTACTGCTACTCTCCCGTTGGAGGAGATCTTCATAGTCGATGGCCTCATTCTCTCGGAAATGCTCAATCTGCTTATCGATAACTTCGTATTGAAAGCCCTCCATCTTCGACAAAAGTCGTTTGATGCCACAAGATATGAACTGCGCACGGATATGGCATCTTAACTGCAAATCATTCTCCGGTGCATCAACCAACATGTTGATGAGTATCATTGTAGAGACTGCGTACTCCATGAGAAGGTTCTCCATGCCGATTCCACCACTGCGATACTCCTCGCTCGCACCAACCAAACTGCCCATCTTGCCACGCCCATCGATGGTAACCTCGACAATGCGCATCCAAGCGTCAAAGCGACCGGTTTCGCCCTGGTGGTTTTTGACATGGTCCATCGCCTGCAGAACTCTCTCGTGACCTTGCCCTTCAGCCCAGTGGCAGAGGAATGTGAGGACTTCGCTGACGAGCTTCCTAGTATTCAGCCGGGGAGAAAGTAACGAGCTGATGAGGGCCACAATGATCTGCTGATGACCGAGGGCATCGTCCGCGCCATATTTGTTGTTCATCAACGCCTTCAGACACTTGACGATATCGTACTCGCGGTCCAAATCTTTGTCTCCAGATGGAGGTGCCGGAACCGGGCCCGTGACTTTCTTGCGGTTGATTTTTACGAGTACATTGGTCAGGGCGATTTGACCTTGCGCCTCGACAAAAGCTTTCACCCAGCTAATCGGTTGCGTTCGTAGACTGACACTCAAACTAGCTAGTTGTTTGGAGGTGATAGTGTCGTCCATCACCTTCTTCACATACCACTCGGGACTGCCCTCCTCATCCGCTCGTTCGAGGATACCAGACGGACCGTCATAACCGTGTGTCTCTCGAGCTTTCTGTTTTCGCTTCTGTTCCCCTTGTAGTTCCGTCAGTCGGTCTTGGTGAACCAACGTCCACTTCTTCGATGCTGGATATGCCATCATTTGCCGCCTAGCCTGCTCAGGAAGGTTTTGCCAACCGCGTTTCTGCATTAGCTCAAGGAATAGCTGGTCCACGATACGATCGTCCCTGGGTCTGGTGAGGTACTGTTCCGTATTTTGCTGCCTAGGTTGGGCAGGCGGAATTGCGCCTTGTGTGCTGGATCCACGGCCAGAATTCACGGCGCCATAGTAATTATTTCGATCGGTTGAGGGCGAAGGCACGACCGTGCGCGAAGAACCGTCCGTTGAAATATAACTTGAGCCCCGGGTATTTGAAGAAAGCGACGAATGGACGCTCGCTTGATCAATAGACATGCGCGAGTTAGTTGAAGAATCCACCGTCGACGACGAGTGGTGACTGAACCCTGCGTTACCAGCAGAGCTTCCAGGCCTCCCCCACTGCTGATATCGGGCTCCCTTATCCCCCGTGGCGCTTGAGCTCATCGCGACACCGTGTGGCGGTGGCCGAGGGCCTGTAGGTTGTGAATATTGTTTATTATTGCGCATGTTGGCCGGATCCCACGCTGGGTATTGGTGGAAGTCGCCTACGCCTTTCGCTAAATGCCCGGGCGACGGCTCTTTTCGAGGCGACGTTTCGGCTTTGGAAAGGTAGTCAACAGAGATAGGGGTCTTGGTATCTGTGGAGAGGCTCTCGAAAGGTATGGAAGTAATGGGGCCTGCTGATGTCGAGAGATAGGACGGATCTATGTCGCCAAAATCCACGGACTGCACTGAGGACCGCTTCGAGTATCTGGATGAGCGGGAACCGGCAGCACTTGATGGAGGTGCAAGACTCTCCCAACTCCCATGAGAATCGTACCGATCTTCCGCCGGCTTCTCTTTGTGTAGTTTTCTCCCAAAAAATGATTTGCCCGCCGATGTTTGTCTTGACTTATCAGTAGTTGGCATCTTGACGTGCGTCCTGGCCGAAGAAATTCATGAGCGCTGTCGCACTGAACAAAGAGCCGGGTACCTAAAAGCCTTTCCCTTTATCCGGTCGATAATACCTGACAACCCAGGAAACCGCGCAGTGGACGTGACATCAAAGTTCCGGTGGGCAATAATTATAGTGTCGTTTGCGGTTGATGCTTTGACTCCTGAGTGATTTGCACTAGCCTCGCGGCTCCGCGGTTAGGACGAGGGGAGGGACAAGAGATACCGTTGTCACCTTCCTCCTTTGCTGGACATCCGGAACGAAGGCAAGGTCGTTAATTAGGAATATATAACCCTAAAAAGCATAACCAAGCGCCCCGTACTCTCTCCTGCGCTGAAAACCGCAATTCGGGTCGAGGTCGGATACCTAGCTCGGATTTCCTGAATAATATGAGGGAATCTCTAGAACCAGCCGTATGTCACATGACTTTTGGCCTGGTTATTCAGGTGTCAACTACAGGCGTCAGCATTCAGATTTGGATGCCGAACGAGATCCATTTCGAAGGTGAAGCCCATAGCGGCCTTGAAGGCAAAGAGAGACTGGCAGCTCGGATGCTTGGTGGTCTTCATTATATCTGATTGCGGGAACTACAACTCTACAAGAGATCACGATGGGCGTATCCAGTCTCGCAAAGGTACGGAATTCCCCTAAATATATATCTCCTACCAAAGTTTCGAACTCTCCCAGCACAATGCCATTACAATAATGCTAACCTTATCCCAACCTCGCTGTTTAGACGCTCTTCATTCCCGCCATCATATCTCTAACCCTCTACGTGCTCGTATCATTTCTGATCGTCCCCTTCTTCAAGCGCTACCACCAACGGTACTCGCAATATCTCCCTCTAGAGACAATCACCGCGCACACATCCTCACTCTGGGAACGCATAGCCGACGCGATCATGCGCCGTTTCCTACCCTCGTCCTGGCGACAGCAAGCGCATATCTCCGATGCGAACGATAACATCAGCATTCTTGACGAGGAGGGCGAAATCATGGTCGGGATGAATATGGACACCGCGCATCGCGAGGCCTTGGAGAGGCGGCGGAGTACCGTTGCGGAAGATGAGGGGAGGCTAAGCCGGGATCTTGAAGAGGGGTTTATGGATGATAGTGATGAAGAAGGGCATCGGGGTGATTGGAGGGGGCGGGGCGCGCATTGATGATGTGCCGGTTGTTTATCTTATTACGGTCCCTTCTTTCGACACTGTCCGGAATGTTGGACTCGCGTTTATATACGCATAACTGGGTCGGGCTCGGCATTCGCAAGTGAGCATTATAACATTGTTATATTTCCTTTCTTGATCGAATCATGTACTTCTATAGTTGAGGGACTACTGACCAGGCTTCGTTATACCGCATATACCAAGCGCTAAAAGAAGTATTAGAGTAGGTGCATGCTCTCGATCTGAGGCTACGCAGATGAAGCAGTCCATGAAGTATCAAGTGAATTTGTTTCATTTCAGGTATCATAACTTGGTAATAGAGAAATGTACCCCCGTCAGCGGGGTTGCAGACCAGGAAAATGCGCCGTAATGTATTTTCATCATCTCATCAATTTCACCCATCTATTTCTTCTCACGCTGGCCGTAGGCCTTGGTGGCGTAGTCACCGCCGTGGACGATCAGGTCATGAGGGTTGTAGTCGAAGCGGCCGGAGAAGTAGCTGTCCAGAATGGCCTTGGTACCGTTGGCGTAGCGGATCTGGGCGTCAATGGAGGTACCGGACATGTGAGGAACCATGCCGTTACCACCGCCCCAGGGGTGCTCGGCGTAGCGGAGCGGGTGGTCTTTGGGAGCAGGCTGGGGGAACCAGACATCACCACCGTAGCCTCGGAGGTGGCCAGACTTGAGAGCCTCAGCGACATCCTCCTTGACGACGATAGCGCCACGAGCAGTGTTGACGAGCCATGAACCTTGGTGACATGTTAGCTTCATAATGACTGTGGCTAGCAAAGAGGCTTACCGGGCTTCATCTTGGAAATAAGCTCCTTGTTGAAGAGACCGCGGGTCTTCTCGTGCAGAGGGCAGTTGATGGTGACGACATCACACTGAGCAACCATGTCCTCGAGAGACTCGACGCGGCGAGCGCCAATCTCCTTCTCAACCTCAGCGCTCAGGGGCTGGTAGTCGTAGTACAGCAGCTCCTTGCAGTCGAAGGGCTTGAGACGGCGCAGCACACGCTCACCGATACGGCCGACACCGACGGTTCCAACAACCTTGTTTTCAAGGTCGAACTCGTTCTTAGCGACAGCAGCGACGTTCCAGTCACCGTTGCGGATCTGGTCGTGAGCGGGGACGAAATTGCGGACGAGGAGGAGGATGGTCATGACAACGTGCTCAGCGACGGAGACGACGTTGGAACCGGTGACCTCAGCGACGGTGACACCGCCGTTGGTCTTGTTGGCAGCGTTCAGGTCGACGTGGTCAGAACCAATACCGGCAGTGACGGCGAGCTTGAGGTTCTTGGCCTTGGCCAGGCGCTCGGCTGTGAGGTATCCAGGGTGGAAGCTGTAGTAAGGTCAGCTGCTGGAGCAATACCCAATGTATTCCAGGGCAATCACTAACGGGGTGGTGATGATAACTTCAGCGTCAACGAGCTCCTGGTCGAACTTGGAGTTCTCGCCATCTTTGTCGGAGGTGGTCACTAGGGTGTGGCCCTGCTCCTCGAGCCACTTCCTAATGCCGAGCTCATTCTCAGTAGTACCGAGGAGACCAGGCTGGTCTTTGGCGTGAGAGCCACCCTAATGCTTTGTTAGTACACTGCCAGGGTGGTATAAGTTTAGAGACAACTTACATCGTAGAGGACCATAAGAACCTTGCCCTGCAGGCGGGAAGAAGCTGTTAGCATGCGTGCACCAGGATTAAGACCAGGCCCGAGGCGGCTGGCGAACATGGGCCTGCTCAACGAGCTGGAAGATAGGAGGGTGGAGAGCGGCCGCCGTGTTTGACGGGCGAAAGAACGGATAAGTACCATTTTGAATGTGTAAGAAGCAAATTGCTTGAAGAAAAGTTGTTAAGAAAGAAGATAGACGGATACTGTAGGACGAGGTCAGTCAACTGCTTTATACTCTGCTGAACGGTTGTGTCGAGGGTTGATAGCAACTCTATTCCGGACAAGCACGGAAGAGCGAGAGTGACGAGATGATGTGGAGAAAGACGCATCCTGGACAAGACAAGACAGGGGAGGGGTGCCTTACAGGTGCTGTTACAGAAGGATGATGAGATGATGAGATGATGAGATGATGAGATGATGAGTCTATGAGATGAGAGAGATGGTTTCAGACGGGGAATATAGCTTGATTATATAGACACCGGTCTCCTTTCCCCCTCCATCGTGACTTCATCCACCGGGTGCGCATCCGGGTGTCCGTGAGCGGAGAGCGAGAGCAGGCTGCAGGAGGTCGAGGTGGTCGGACCAGATGCCCGTGGAACGGCGGCTCTCCGCATGCTATCTACGTGAGGGGGGAGCTTCCAGTAGCCGCCTCAGCGTTTCATCGAAGCTTCGTTCAGCATTGGCGGACAATTTTGCCATTATTAGCCTCCTCTCGTGCAGCACTTGTCCTGACTGGTGCCCCTGAGTGGTTTGCATACAGCAACTGTCTCACCATGGCCGCATTGGCGTGCCAGGATGGCTTGCCATTGGTGCGGGGAATACTCGACCGTGCGGGGTGAGGGGAACATTCTTCGACCCCTCCCCCTCATTGGATCCCCAGGGCAATACTCCATGAGCACCTGCACCTGCACCATGTCTATCTAGGTGAAAGAGGAGATAGGAGAAGCCTGAGTAGCGTATCGATTGGCATTTGGCGAGCTCAGCACACTAATAATAGCGCATTCATGCCGCTTTGCTATCAGAGTACAAACGTTGATAAAAAAAATTGTCTAATCACAAAACACCACTGCTACTACTATTTGCTCAATAATTACCAGAGACAATCGATATGAATGATATGAATACTTGATTCTTGGTGTCCCCGTCGTGATGCAATAATCAAGTGTTGTAACTTGGTCGCTCTTGCGGGATGACGTTTCGGAGCCCGCTGAGGGGCACAAGCTACAACCAAGGAAGAAGATAAAATGCGCAGGTGGCATCCACAGCGACGCCCAGTTTCAAACAAGGACAGAAGATGGGGTCAAGAATCAGTCCTCTGGGAAATCGACTGTTGACCGAGTCAATCCCGTAAAATGACCGAGCTGATCTCCTCGCCTCGCCATCTTCAAGCTGCAGTGATGAGGAGAAGTGCATCCATTTCGAGCTCGGAGGTCCCCACCACTCCGCACACTCCAATTCTATATTCATATCCAGCCAAATCATCCGATGCCGATGCGCGTGGCGCCAGAAGTTCGAGAATTACCCCAACTTGCTTCAGGGCAAAGTTCCGAGAATCGTGCGACTACCGGAAGAAATATGTCCGTTTGATTCTCAAGGTACTCTATACAGCAATATCGCAACTCTATCCTAATATACACAGGTCTACGAAGTGAGCAATGTCCCGGTCAGAAGACAATGTTTACCAGCTTTCCCCCCTTCACTACAATCACCCTTCTCCGTTTCTCCCAGTCGTTCCTTTCCCGCAACCAGAGACGTCCTTCTTCGGTTTCCAGAATGCGGCTGATGATATAGTCCTGCTCCGTTGAGCCAGACTCCGAGGTCGTCGGTGAGAGCATTCTTGGAATAGTTATGGTGAATCGCAGCTTGCCATTTATCTGAACCGCTACAACCTGACCTCCGCGCGCTGCCAAAATATCGGCTTGTTCTGTCGTTAGAGGAGGCGATGGCCAAGGACAGTCGAATACTGTCAAAGCTTTGCGATCAAGGTCCGGCTGCTCTGCAAGGACGGAGGAATGGAGGATTTCCCAGGACTCTGACGACAATGCTGGAGCCACAGGGGCTAAAAGGCGCAACAGGGAGGAGACGGAGAGATAAAGGACATGCGGGGAAGTGGGAGTGGAGGATAGGAGCGAGTTGGTCAGTTTTGTCAAGTCAGAGATGACTGTGTTGAGTCCATAGGGGTTCTTCTCAAGGCAATTTGTAACGGAGCAGACGGTCCGATGGGTGGTAAGCATAGCCTCCGCGTCACTGTCACTCAAACTTTGCAATGGTTCCAGGCTTGCAGGTTTCGCAGTTGCTGCTACTAAATCGGCCCTTTTCACCTTGTACGAAGACGAGGTTAGGGTTTGCTCTGCGTCAACAACAAGCTTCCAGAGTCGGCTGAACCAGCGCTCGATACCAACGATCTTTGTCTCATCCCACTCGAGAACCTCGCTGACGGGCGCCGAGAAAATTACATGGGCGCGTGTGGCATCGGCACCGTATTTTGAGACACACGTCGTTGGGTCTACGCCATTGTGTTTGCTTTTCGACATTTTCTCCCACGACACACCCGGTGTTTCACCTGACTTTTTGATAACAGGCTTGTCCGGATTGGAAGTATCGAGCTCGTCAGGAAGCAGAAACCGACCCGTAGACGGTTCCGTGAACGTCCTGCCGTGAACCATGCCCTGGGTTAGAAGGGTCTTGAAGGGCTCCGGTGGTGCAGCTAACTCTGCAGTTCGAGCAATCTCCGGGAATAAATCCGATTGGGCAAGAAATTTGTAAATGAAGCGAGAGTAGAGCAGATGCAGGATTGCGTGTTCAACACCCCCGACATACACATCGACTGGCCGCGCCACCGATGGTGAGAAAGGCTGCTGTTTGTTTGCTGAGTCTAGAAAACGGAGGTAGTACCAAGAGGAATCAACGAATGTGTCCATGGTATCTGTGTCACGCCTTGCCATGCTCCCGCAACTTGGGCACTTGGTGGCCATCCACACCTGATCGGATTCCAAAGGGCTTCCTCGCTTCTCTCTCAACCAGTCGCCCTTCAACTCGGGCAGCTTCACCGGGAGATCGCTCACAGGAACAGGCTGGGGACCGCAATCGTCGCAATAGATAATGGGAATTGGGCTTCCCCAGTACCGCTGACGGCTAATCAACCAATCCCTGAGCCTCCATTGCTCGACAAAGTCAGCGTGGTCAGTAGCTTTAAGGTCGTTCGTAATCATTTTGCCCGCTTCGCGAGAATGGAGGCCCTGGTATTTCCCGCATTTTGTGGTCAAGAATCCTTCGTGTGTGAAAGGCCGGGCCTCGTTGATGGAGATGTCACTTGCGTCTGCATCGGTACTGGTTGCAGACTCCTTTGTGGCGCTCAGGATGACAGGAATCGAGTCGGGATTTGCGTTTTTCTTGAAAAACGAAAAGTCTCTCGAGTCATGACCAGGAACTCCCATCACCGCGCCCTCCCCATAGTCGCTGAGGACGTACGGCGCCACATACACGGGCAGCGAACGAGCGAGGTGAGGGGTGTCTTTATCGATCACACGCAGAGGATTTGTGGCACTGAGACTAGGCAGTTTATACCCAACTTTAGAGTCTGCTGGAAGCATCGCCGCTTCGTCTAAGAATTTTCGCAAGGCCGCATCCTTTTTGGCCGCATCCAGGACAAGAGGATGATCCAACGCGAGCGCCAGGTACTCTGCTCCGTAAAGCGTGTCCGGACGAGTCGTGAAAACATGCAGATCGAGGTCCTTGCTGTCGCTGCCATCGATGACAAGAGGAAATTTGATCTTCGCGCCATAAGATTTCCCTAGCCAGTTCCGCTGCTGGATCAGCACCCGCTCGGGCCAATCGTCGGAAAGAGAGTCGAGATCGTTCAGGAGTTGTTCTTTGAAGGCAGTAATGCGGAAGAACCACTGTCTAAGCTTCTTCTTCTCGACCTTGGCGCCAGATCGCCAAGAGCAACCATTCGCGTCGACTTGTTCGTTCGCCAGTACCGTCTTGTCAACTGGGTCGTAGTTGACCATTGCTTCCGCCTGATATGCGAGGCCCTTCTCGTATAGCATCAGGAATATTCGTTGTGTATGCTCGTAAAACTCCGGCGCGCAAGTCGCAAGCTCCTACAATGTGCCAACACAAGTCAAAACCTGGTTAGCGGATAGTGTTCCCATCGAGACAACCGTACCTGATCGGTACCCCATGCGCGCGCAAGAAAGACATACCCGCTCCCAATTAAATGTCGTCGAAATACTCCGTAACTGCTCCTTCATCCTAGCAATATTCTCCGTCGTCCAGCCCGCAGGAGAAACGCCATGCTGAATAGCGGCATTCTCCGCCGGCAAGCCAAAGCCATCCCAACCCATTGGGTGCAGAACATCATGCCCACGCATTCGATAGAACCTCGCCAGCACATCCGATATTGTATATACCCGCAGATGTCCCATATGCAGCGTCCCAGACGGATAGGGAAACATGGAAAGGATATACGACTTGGGCTTTTCACCAACCGTTCCCGCAGTGGTATCCTCAGCAGCGCCAGCGGGGACCCGGATCGATGAGTCGTTCTGCCATATCGCCTGCCATTTCTTGTCTATAGCGGGTAGATCAAGCTTCTTAGATATCGACGTCGCAGTGGTTGCAGTAGCGTAGGAGAGGAGGCCCGGAGCCGATCGTGGAGGTAATGTGTATGTCTTGCATGGCCGGAGCGCAAGCGCAGCCCGGACAGGGCGCAATCGAGAACGGAAAAGATGTCGCATAATTTTCACGCGTTCATGGTGCTATAAGTCCACGGGTTAAGCCATTGCTCCGACGAGGTACGAGGTTTAAATAAACAATATTGCTAGCCGGATGATCGCGAGTCCGCAAGTATGATGTTTAAGGTTGAAACCAGAGAAGTCTAACCATTTTTGGTTTAGCGCAAATCAACCTTGGAAGGGTTCTCGACATTGCGACAAGACATGGCCGATCTCGAATGGAAGTTGGAAGATGAAAGACAGACTCTAGATAAAGATCGGTTTGGACAGTACATACTGGATAGGGCGATTACGAGTTCCATAATTGCAATGAATCGCGATGATTCAAGGGGCCCTGACGTTATAAGTTAATGGAACTATATACATTGTAGTTTACATATGAACTGGCACTTTTGGCCTATCCATGTAATGCAACTCCCGTGCATGTTTAGCATCGTATTTTATAACCGCAAAATACTTCCGTCATAGTCTATGCCACCTCTGAAATGATCTGATAGCACTCTACCTCCCAGTATGGTTTCCTCCACAACGCCCTCAACATGTTTGGGCTCAATACGGCCATACCAAATACCCTTACCGGCCAGCGGATGGGGCACAGGCGAGTCGCCGTACTTCATGCGCTTCGGAATATACACAATAACGTTGCCCGCGTATTTGTGACCACCAATGTGACTGATTAGTCCGATATGGGCACGATCCGGGCTATCAAAATTGCCACTGCCAGTGCCAACAGGCGTAGAGATACCCTTGGACTCCAAGACTCTTCGAAATTGCTCCTCCAAAATTGGCGCCATAACCCCACACCGCATATCACGGCCTCCATGACCACAAATCAAAATAACCGGGGAATACTGTATATCCACGGCGTCGGGGAATTCGGACGCCAACTCCGGCTTTCGAAGCAACTCGCTATGTCGCGGCTCGGGTAAGGTCTCCATCATCGGACTAAGCTGTGTGGGAAGAAGGAATGCTCGTACAAAGGTCGAGAGGTCAGCATTAGTTTTCGCAAACTTCGTCACACCAACCGGTATCGAAGGAAAGTATTTGAAGCTGGGGAATAGGAAGGCCGAGGCAGCACCGGGAGAGAGAGGGCCAGTGGAGGTAGGAGGCAATGAGGAGTTCGTGACCATAACATTATTAAAGGGCTACGGAAACAACAAAGTCAGTTGGCATATTTATGCAGTGCGCAGAAGAGACCGGAATGCGGCTTACATCTGCATATGGACCGCCGCGGCCCATTAAATTCTTCAGGCCTCTCACGAGCTCTCCCCAATGTTGATCCTTCCCGTCATCCTCAATTCGACTTCTCCAATCCCTTTGTCCCGTACAGATAACTATTTGCTGAGCGTAGGCCGCCATTGTCCCGTTCAGCGGATGGTCATGGTCGAGCGGCAGTCCTTCCGGCATGGATGGAGTCGAGGGACATGAGCATTTCGGCTCAGGGCAGCTTTTCGTCACAGGAAACGGCGGCGGGATGTCCAACGGGGTTCGCCTCTCTCTTGAAAGGCAATTGGAGCTTGATAGGCATCGGATTGTGGTTGTTGTTCGCGAGCAGGTCCCAATCTGTCGGGTGACAGATGATCGCCAGCCTGTAATTAGTAGCCCCATTGCTTGGTTGAAGTGTAAATAAGATGCCGAGTTCTAAATAATGCTGTATATTTGCATTTGCTGGAGAAAAACCTCACGCAGCCTGTTGGTCAGAAAATGATGTAGGAAAAGCTGTTCCCCGAGACACCGAGGCCGACTCGGAGATAAGACCCGATAAGCCTGGAGCAGTCAGAATGCGGAGAAAGTAGTCGACGAATGAGCGTCAGAATATTAACACTATGCATTTTGTTGGCATAATATAGTTACCCCGTACGGGTATTTATATCATACAATCTGCCATGCCTTTACATCCAGCAGCGCCTCCCTAAAGATGGCCTTTCGGGGCATGAGAATCCATCCAGCTATCCAGGGATTTGGGGCCCAAGCCAAGAGAACGCCCCCAAAAACATGTTGTTTTCTATTGATCACGAACTTGCGGCAAAATCTGCTAGAGCGTGCAAAGACTCTGTCAACGGCCACAAGGTGTAAGAGAACCCAATGGCCCCTGCGACGAGGAGCACATAATACGTGACAGTCCACCCAAGGCCGAGCTGGCCATAAGAGTACTCTGGGCTCCTGTCAGAGTCCTCCTTTCCTCTATTGAAAGTAGGACCAATTGGAACCACAGCCTCGACCCTTCCCCATAGCCGGGGAAGTCCACACCAGTTACAGAAAGCATGGATTAGGATGACCGCGAAGAGAGATCCAGTCCGAAGGTAAACGAAAGTGGCGTACCAGCCAAAAACCGTCGTGTATCCGAACTGAAAGACAGAGCGAAGCACTGCTGCAATGATTGAGGTATCCGGATGGGTCAATCGGAACTCATAGAAATGATGCACATGAGCGACCCCAAAGTACAAGGGGGCGACCCAAACGATACGTCCTGGGTTCACTCTGGCAAGGAGATGGAGCGGTATTATTGCCGATCTGAACATGACCTCCTCTGTGATAGGACCCTGTATTATATCACCCTTAGCCAGATGAGCCATGTGAATTGGGCCACGAACAACTCACGGCGACATAGTTCCTCCATCCAATCCAGCCACCTAGAGTTTCAGAGATACGGGCTCTCCTGAACCATTCTCTCCACTCGCCCTCAGCAACTCCGCGCTCAAAGATGGGCCCAGTAAATAGTAGGGCAGTCAAAAATAGACCACGGAGGATGTCCGTAAAGTTGATCGGCCACCAACCCATGAGCTTGAGGGCATGAAGGATGGACGAGTCATCTTCCGCAACAATGAGCCATAGTACAGCCAAACTACAAATGAGACAGGACAGCGTTACAGCTCGAATCCTGGCTCTGATCACAGACGGAGCATCACGACTCAGAGTAGCGGAGGGCCGCGTAGCCGGTGAGACATAGAATGGGAGCACGTAAATCAGGGTCAAACAGATCTAGCCAAATAGATCAGCAGCTGCCCCATGGTACGATTAATGCTGTCTCGGGAGAGCGCAGAGGTTTGGAGCACTTCGCTCGCGAGTCATCCCTTTCCTTTCCTCGTGTTCCCCTTTTTTGATGGGCGATGATGACACTATCTTTGTTCAAGGCGTTGAGGAACGCTCAGACCAGGAGAACATACCGAAATGCCAGCAGCTGCCTGGGCCGAGATAGCCGGCTCATCTGCGCCAAATGATCAGTTAAGGCGCAACGGGGTGGATGCTTCTAGAGAAACAGGCAATATACCTTGTTCTTTCGAGTACAGAGTCCTAAGACGAGCGAGAAGGCCGCTAACCGGGGCCATTCTCAGAGTCTCCCAGAAGCTGAAGCTCGGGAGAGCAGGCAAATAGGGGGCGGGACACGAACAAATATAGCCCTGGAAAACAGTACTAACGACGAAAGGAGGCTGTCAGCATTAGGAGAGCGGGGATTAATGAATAATAAACATAGAAATATTTGACAATGTTGAGGATAGTCCGACCCTCAGGAACATCTAGTCTGCCTGCTAATATTGTTGCTGCTATTGTTGAGGCGAGGACAAAGGGAGCTACGAGTATTCGTGCCTGAATCTAAAGGCACCACGCACGGCCATCGGCAATCTCACCAGCCCCAGACATCTCGACGCCGATGGATATTATTGTCATCAACCGCTTTTTTGGGCCGCCAAATATCGTTCGTGAGCTATATTTTTGATTTGCCCTGATCCAACGCTGCCGATAAACCATCAGTCACCCCAGAATGCCTTAACTATATTATCTCCCAGAATAAGCATGCGTCGTGCGATAACCTCCGAGTAACAGGCACTACCAGCTCGGAGCACTCCACTCTGAATGAGTTGGCAGTCTTGGGGTGATCGTTCTGCGTTCTGCGCCGCGCCGCCGCGATGCTTTTTGAATGGCTGATTATGCATGTTTTCTCGGTTTTAACCGTATCTGCCCCTGACGCCGGACTGTTATTGGATCATCAGGGCAAAAATTTCCCCGTGATGCCAAATAATAATGAGCCTTGAGGTTCTCCAAGATTTCGAGTCTGTTTAGCGCACTCAGCCACGACGGAGTGGATCGACCCTGGTCCAGCTTCAGTGCCCGGGGTTCCTGGCCTTCGGACTTCCACTGTTTTTCGGAGACTCTATACCTTTTATTCTCCCCCGAGTCCATCGTGGACCATGGTTGCGTGATTCTAGCAGGATTCGGAAATGTGATGAGTTTGTTCAGCATGCAGGAAGTGGAATGAACAGGTCTCCGTGCATGAATACTATTCACCCAACGCAACTCGCTTATGCATGCTGCATGTACGACTGAGTGGCCCGGGGAGACTCTGTACCTAAGTGTACCTTGCAGTTCTCACCCCTCGCTCTTTTCCACCACAACTGGCCAACCTATCTAGGAGGAACTGCCGCATTTGACGGTGAGGAGTCAATCAATCAATACGCACGCACATTTTCATCTACAGTCAAACCGCGAGTCCGGCCAGGCCTTAATAACACAGCGAGATGATTAGACTACTCCCCAGCCGCAGGCCAATGAACTTGGGTTCGTCCAGGTCCGTCATTTTATCGGAGGAATAACCGGCACGGCTGCAATCGAGATGATGCCGGAATCCCCATTATTATGGTCCCCATCCTGACTCGACCCCGTCTGCCGTTTTGTTGAAGACCTGAAAACTTCGTTTTCGAAAACGTTCTTCGAAGGGCCGATCTCCGGTCTTCGATCTCGGATGACGAAGAGGGACCGCTGCAATCAAACTCGAACCCACTACGGAGTACTACGTATCTAGACAACTGCTAAATAAAAATAATTGAAAGGCGGGCATTCTCCTAAAATAATATTAATAACCGACGACTCGACGAGCTTCCTTTTTCCCTGTCTTGCTGTCAATTCGCGCGAATCCAAACGGCGCTCCAGACTCTTATGCATGGCCCCTGGGTCCTTTCGAGTCTAGTTCCTGCGCTGTTCACCGCCGCTGGGCAACTAAAATCCAGGGCTGAAGGGGGGAAAGGTTCTTAAAGAGATAACTGCGGGTATTCCGCTGTTTCAGATTGCGTCCCGTCTCTTTCTCAGCCTTCCAGTCGTTCTGTCGTTTGTCACTCCTTTAGAAACAGTTCCCCAGCGGTGCTCCCAGGTCTCCGGTTAGACGCTCTTTTACGTACCGTTATTTACATCATCTGCTCCATTCTATTCGGCTATATCAGGTTTACTACTGGTCCTGTTGCTCCATCGGTCGGATCTACCCTCTTTTCATCCCATAACCGTTGGGCGCCGTTGTTCTTCTTATCACGTCGAATTGTGCCGTCACTTTCAAGGCATTCCTTACTAGATACAGCGTCAAGAATTTTTACGGACCACAACAAAAACACGCAGCAACGTGTTGAGCGCGCTTTAGCCACACTTGCTGTCCGTTGTCTTTGCAAATTGCGGCTGGTCGAGCACTCGTTCAATTCATCGCATCGCTTTATGCGATACTTAATATATCTCCTCTAATTGGTAATACTCTTGCGGAGACATTCGGTCTATTTTCTGCTTTACCAATTCTCCCTTGTTTTGATATACTTGCCGCTCTGGGAGTTGCATTCTTGCGCCGGTTCTATACTTCTACGACAGGTATCTCCTGATAATGAATTAATCGACACTGCAACAATATGCGTTCGACCGATTCCTCTCCCCGACGGAGAGCGCTTCATGAGCGCACACCATCTCATACCAACGAGTGCTCCCTGCCTGCATCCATGCGAGCCGTCAGCGACAGATACCCGGAGCAGGAGGAACGTGATGTCTACTCAGCCACGCCGTATCCGACTAAGCCGGAACAAATTCTTCCTCCACGACCTGGGAAAGGGCATGAGTTCGTCCCAGACTCCCGCTTCCAAATCGACGAAGGACCAAGTACATGCACCGGGACCTACTCTACGGATAACAGTGGCATTGCCGACAGCAGTTTGATTGATCCCTCAATAGGTGATTGGGACCTCTCCTCGACTTTTGATGCCGGCAACACGCCACCGCAGTTGTGGGAGGATGATCCCGGCTCAAGCAAAACTTCCTTCCCGGACTCGGAGCTGCTTGACCACGAACGAGTCGGCGTTCGACAAGTTAGTGCCGCGACTGCTGTTTATTCGGATGAAGAATCCATTCTCCCTCAAAACGCGCCAACCATCAAGACCGTTCCTCATGATTCTGTCTCTCGCCAGCCTTCTGGTTCAGTGAATGCCCCGTCAAGTAATACAAGCCCCAACATTATCCCTATAGGACCGCCATCCAGCCCTAACTACGTTTCCCTGGACACCTCGAGCCTCAATTTCGTACGGATTGGTGCCTCGTCTAACCCGGATTCTGGCTCCCGATCGAATTCGGTATCCTCGTTGAACTCGCTGGGAACTGTCATTCGATATGCAGACGCCGCACCTTGGACCCATGGTTCCTCGTCCGAGCTAGGGCCTTCGCGCTCGGGCTCTCAATCCTTTCGCTCCAGTCCCCCACATCAGGTTCCCTCAATGGGGTCAATGTCAACCCGGCCCAGTGTTAGGGCTAGGAGCCATTCTCGTTCCGCCACATCGTCTTCGGGCAGCGGCCCGCGCTCCGAGATACGGCAAGCTGTGGCTGATAGTGGCTTGTTTATCCAATATCCGACTTTAAGAGCACCTTCGTCATCCGGCTCAAGGGTTGAGAACGGATCAAACTCGGCAGGCTCGTCTGAGGATAATCTACATGAACCGACTGTGGATTATGCATCGGATCGGTTCAGATCTCACCTCTCTACCGTAACGTCCCGGTGGTCGGCCGAAAACAACTCTGGTTTTGCTTCTCCCTCGGGCAGTAACTCGAGGACTGTATCACAGGATCTTACGCCTCCCCCCGCGGCGCTGACCCGTCAAAGACTCACTTCATCTTCGATATGGATGGTGAACGAGTCGGAAGATGACGAGTTCCTGGACAGCGTTGCTAGCTTACCGCCGCGTCCCACAAACCCTGGCGTTCCCAATAGCCAATCTTCAAGCTCAAGAAGCAGCAGCGTGCGGAGCAATCAGCGTCCCGGCACGAGCTCTAGCCTTGTCACAAACGCCATTCCTACGTGGGCCAAATTTTATTATAGGGCTGAAGAAGAGGCCGGGAATTCTACACTAGCTCTGGTGGAGGAAGTCAACCGCCCGGCTCCAGTCCGACCTCCAACTTCCAACTCCAGTTATATTCAGCGCTTCACCAGCGTTGTGACCCGGGCTAGGACCTTCACAAACGAGACTCGAGGCAGCTCTAAACCGCAACCTGTTGCAGATGCCCGAGACCCTCGAAGCCACTGGGCGAAAAAATCCGAGGCTTCTATATCAAGGACTGCATCGTCTCTTCACCGACTGCGACAGAGTTGGTCGCCTCACCTGTTTCCTGATAAACGCGGTGTTGCCGCGAAATCGAGCGTTTGGCGTGCACCATCCCTTGATTCTCGGACTGAACCGATCCTTGGGCGGCGAAACATCCAAGTTTGGTCCTTTTGTTTGGGATTCATCTGTCCCCTCAGTAAGATTTACCCCAATCAACGAAATGGGTCCTCTTCTGACGTATCGCCCTTCAATTAGCGTGGCTTATCGCCTCATTTCTCCCCCTGCCAAAGCAACCGGAAATGGTAATTGAGGAAAGCTGCGGACCCGAGCTTGAGGCAACGCTCAAGATGCGACTCCATGACCTTGAGCGCAAGCGGTACTTGAATGCTCGATGGTGGAGAAACCTCAATCGTTGGATGAACCCTCTAGGGTTGGTGATCGTTGCTATCGTTGTATGCCCGGCCACGCGTCATCTCTGTTCTTGGCTAATACTTCTAGATCACACTGGCTGTTGTGGGAACCACAGTAGGCTTATAAGAAGTCCAGCCCACTAATATTCCTCGCGCCGTTAATCGGCCTCCTTGCACCTAGCAGGTGCTCTCCAATTTCCGCCACAGGCCATGCCTGTTCCTCCTTTCTCCTCAGTCCGCAGCGCGACTGCCCCACCGGCAGCTTGGACTCCCTTCCGTTCTCGCTTTTCGACCTTCCCCTTTCTATCTCCGTCTCTATTCTCGACTGCTTCTTCGCTTCTTGTCCAAAGGAATCCTCGACATGATTGCATGACGTGATGCACATAATGTTTTATACTCATTTTCATTCCCTTCATTCAGCCCGGCGTTGTTTTTGCTTCTGCTCGTCCTTTTGCGATCGCTTTGATCGATGGCAGGGTCATCGTTATCGTGGAGTAAAGGGTAATCGGTTTCACCGCGGGTTTTATTCACGACGACAGTTACGGACGTTCTTACTGGTTGGCTCCATTTTACTGGCTATATTATATCAGCTGGGAGTCTTTGCATCGGCGTCCTTCTTCTCTTATAAACTATTTATGCCTTGATGTACAAACATTGGGATTTTGCTCTGGGGTTGTGGCAGATATTATAGCTATATACAATCATACATTCTATTTCGACGCATAGCGCTTTGTTTAGTGAATTATTGAATTTTCTATTTCGATCATGAGTGACTTAGGCTTCGGATTGCCGTTGGGAGTTTGTATAGCAGCTAAGATACTACGTAGGGCATGTTCGAACAGCATAAGACTGGCGGGGAGAAACAATTGATCAGTCTAGTTCGTTCAAATTGCCATATTACATTATAGTCTATATGCGAGCGCCCCGTCAAGCAGTGTACCTGGTCATCCACTGATCGACAGGGGTAGGGTTTAAACAGAGACAAGGCGCTGGAAACACTGATGAAACTTTGAGCATTAACAACTGCATTGAAGTAATGGCAGTTGCTTATCCGAGTGTACGGCCAATCTTGTCTTCAATGGCAGCCTTGAGTTCATCGCCTGTAGGCATCGTGACTACGCTGCCCTTTCTGCGTCTGGACTCAATCTCGGATTTGATCTCCTGCACTGCATCATCAAATTCCTGAATGGCGTCGTTTGGAAGACCAAGGGTTGGTTCTTGGATGCTTTCCGTGCTCGTTGAGCGTACGGCCTTGGGACGCTCGGCGCGCGATCTCGATTTCTTGAGGAGAAAGCCCTTCGCTGGCGAAGCGAAGAAGACGAGAGACGCAACGACGGCAATGACGCCGTAATAGTTGACGGTTTGCCAGACATACGTCGAAGTAGAAAACGTCAAAAAGATGAACGGCAGAACAACGAAAGACATGGTGACTTGGGTTACGAGCCAGCTGGCAAAGTCGTAAAAACGCTTGTAAGGGCCAGGTGTACCCCCATCTGGAGAGAGGAAGAAGGGCCTAACATGACGTCGGAAGTCTAGGCGGCGTGAGCAATACGCACAAGAGGGATGTGGCTCGGGCCTTTGTACTTACTCTTGGCCACAGTCTGGATGAAAGAACCTAGAACAAATGAGAAGTAATATCCAGGATAGAAGCCGTGCCAAAAGGCGCTGGTCGTGAATGTCGCCAAACTAGCCCGAAACCCGGGCTTCTTCCCCTTGGGAGTGACGCGCAAGTAGACATAGTTCCGCAGCCAGTGGTTGGTGTTCTTGTTCCAGCTTCCCAAGTAGGCATGCGAGTTCTGAGCCGTCTCAAGTTTCCAGGGGTCGATGTTCTCTAGTCTATTCCAGAATACTTTGCCCGTCTTGGGATCAAACCCGTTATATCCCATTCCTGACAGAATACAGGCACCTTCAGTCAGGGTCCACACGCCATAGTATTTCGCCCGTGTCGTGAATCCTAAGGCATGTATAATCCAGACTCGTCGGAGGAATGAATAATCCAAGAAAGAAGGGTCCAACAGGGTATCTTTATTGTAACTTGACCCAAGTTGCAGAAAAACCACGATCCATGTCAAACCCGTCACTGCTTTCTTGGCAGCAGGAGTCCCGCTCCGAGGAATCTTGCGCTTCTTTCGGGTGCGTGGCACCTTGGACGGATCAGAGCCTGGCGGTACTTCGAAGAGTGTAGTGTCGATCCATCGACGGTACGCAACATAGTCAAATGCGGGTCCACCAAAGAGACCTGGAAAGAACAGGACATAGCCCGCGTAGTCCAGGACTGGTGGAAACTTGGTTATTGCGGCATATTTCTGCGGATCCGACAGCTGGTCTTGAGGCAAGCGGCCATCATGTACGTTCCAGCAAAAAGCAGAGAGCTTCATCACAAGGACCATCTGGGCCCCAGTGATGTCGACTACCTGCGGGTTGTCCATGATTTGGCGAGTGAGGTGGTTGACGGACATGTGGCCCATCAAAAAGATGAAGCCAATCCAGGGCATCATTGAGCCATCTATATAGTAGGCGATAGCATAGATGCCCGCGGAGCTATAGATAAGGGTCCGCAATCCATCCCACAAATCGAACAGCCCGACGAGGTAGAATAGCGACACTGCAATATTGAAAGCATTTTTCTTCCACGGCTGAGCGTCCGGGATCCTCTTCAAAAGCGCTGCCAGCGGGTACGAAAGGAGGAAGGAGGCTATAAGTTTTACTATAAAAAATACCCCGCTGTTAGCTGAACCGTTCGAGCGGGACAAAAAGAGAAGGAGCGTCAGGACAAACGTACGCTCATCGACCGAAGCTCCAGTTATCTCAGCAGGATAACCGAACACTGAAGAAAAGCAAGGACAACGTTAGTTGGCTCGATCTAAAGCTTCGACTTGACCGGAATCCTAGTAGGGTGCAAAAAAAGTTAAGTGACGCACAAGTGTCAATGCCTGGAAACATGGTGAGTGCCCGAGTGGGAGTAAACTATAAGGAGAGCAACATAGAGTAGCAGGTTGAGAAAAAGAAGGGCAAAAAAAAAGGACAATGATGTCTGGAGTAGAGGAGAGGAGGGAAGATGTTGAGGTTTGAAGAAGTCGTTGATGGTTGAGAAAGCATGACGGAATCACAGGGCCGATCATCAGGTCTCCACTCGGACGCCGCCATCATTCCCTCCTCAGGAACAGACAGAGTTTCACCCTCTTCACATGATTCCGCGGTGTTCTTGTCAAGCTACGCTTTTTGTTTTCTATCCATCTTGCTAACACTAACAATCGCTATGGACGTCGTCGCCGCGGTGTCCGGCTACATCTCCAAGATGGTCACCGCGGGTGATCCATCAACGACCGGCTCCTCCACATCGAAGATGAAGATACTATTACTTGATAGTGAGACAGTGGGACACTCGCAATTCCTCTTTTGTCAGTTGCTGCGAACTGGGTGCTAATAGGTGCCTTCGATAGGTGCCAATCGTCTCCACTGCAATTACTCAATCTGCCTTGCTGAACCACGAGGTATACCTCATCGACCGAGTGGATAACGCTGCTCGAGAGAGAATGAGACATCTACGTTGTCTTTGCTTTGTGCGGCCCTCTGCGACATCCATACAGCTTCTTATCGACGAGCTCCGCGAGCCCAAGTACGGCGAATATTACATCTATTTAAGCAACATTATCCGTAAATCGTCCCTCGAACGCCTGGCCGAAGCCGATGTACACGAAGTGGTGCGGGTCGTCCAGGAACATTTTGCCGACTTTCTAGTGATTAATCCGGACCTATGTTCTCTGAATCTAGGTTATCCAAACCAGCGGCTCTGGGCCAATTCCCCAGATGTGTGGAACGCGGATGCGCTGCAGCGAACAACGGAGGGCGTGGTCGCGACGTTACTTTCTCTCAAAAAGAACCCGCTCATTCGTTATGAGAAAAATAGCCTTTTGGCCAAAAAGTTGGCCACCGAGGTTCGCTATCAATTAACGCAGGAGGAGCAACTTTTCAACTTTCGCAAAACCGACACGCCCCCAATTCTACTTATCCTCGACCGTCGCGATGATCCAATAACGCCACTTCTAACACAATGGACTTATCAAGCTATGGTGCATGAGTTAATGGGCATCCATAATGGACGAGTCGATCTCCGTGACGTGCCAGAAATCCGTCCCGAGTTGCGGGAAATTGTTCTTTCTCAGGACCAAGACCCATTCTTCAAGAAGAATATGTTTCAGAATTTTGGAGACCTCGGGCAGAATATCAAAGAGTACGTGGAACAATATCAAGTGAAGACTAAGAATACGATGAACATCGAGTCTATTGCCGATATGAAGCGCTTCGTGGAAGATTATCCCGAGTTCCGCAAACTTTCAGGCAATGTGAGCAAACACGTCACGCTGGTCGGGGAGCTTAGTCGGCGAGTAGGGGAGGAGACTCTGCTTGATGTGAGTGAACTAGAACAGAGTTTAGCTTGCAACGACAACCATAACAGCGACCTGAAGGTATGGCAGAGTCACCATTCGATATGCCCTTGATATTTAACTAACCCTTCCCAGAATCTGCAAAGAATCATCCAGGTACCCACAGTACCTCGCGAGAATAAGCTGCGCTTGGTGGCTTTATATGCCATTAGATATGAAAAGCAGCCGTCAAACGCTCTTCCGATCCTCCTTGATCTGCTTGTAACGGCAGGTAATGTACCTTCACACCGGGTCAACATCATACCGAAACTACTCGCGTACCACCACTCATTGCAGGCCCCGCCTATTGCCGGCGGCTTCTCTGACCTGTTTGAATCAACGTCGCTATTCTCCGGTGCACGTGACAGATTCAAAGGCTTGAAAGGCGTGGAGAATGTCTATACGCAGCATTCGCCACGACTAGAAGCGACTCTGCAGAATCTGATCAAGGGCAGGCTCAAGGAGCTCCAGTATCCATTCCTTGAAGGTGGCGGTCATATCCGAGACAAGCCGCAAGATATCATTATCTTCATGATTGGCGGAACAACATACGAAGAGGCAAAGATGGTAACTCAGGTCAACGCCAGCTCACCGGGTATACGGGTAGTCTTAGCCAGCACGTCTGTTCACAACAGTAAGAGCTTCACCGAGGAAGTCGATGATGCTGTGAGCGGATGGCCGGAGCCTGCACCATCCACCGCCGCTGGACGGCTTCGGAGAGACATTGGACGGTAGATACCCAACTGTGTTTACATGGATTAATATGTGCTCTTTGCGGCGTGTGGCGTTCTAATGGCTGCCTTTTGCGTAGCGTTATGTATATCCAAAAGGCAGAGGCTCCGGAGGCGGTGTTTTGATTCATTAGTACCGTAAGATATATATTCGGAGTTTGTCATGAATATGTTGATTGGGCTGTCGGTATTCTACAATCGGCGAAGTCGTACCCTGTACTTAGAGCAATCATGAAGATGCCGAGGCCCCAGATTTTCGAAATGCGGAGATGAACCGGAGATAAAACAGCGAGGGCTCTTGACCCGAGTCAACATCTCAGGAACTGCACGTTCTACCTCCACAAGCTTGACTTCATGGAGCTTCACAAATCCCCGCCGAGGGCGACAACGGCCCTGTCGCCCTCTGCAGCAGCCAACAATCGTGAACCGAAGCTCCAGCTCCCCTCAACGACTGATCCTCCAGGCCCGCAGAACCCGCCCAAACCGCTTGTCTGGCTGGTACGGCACCAACCCTCCAATATTTCAAGCGCACATACGCTAAATTGCTCAATTGCCGCGATATAGATTTTTGGTGCAACTGGCCACATGGGGCGGTCCCTTGTGAAAACCGCTCTTTCGCGCGATGACCTAGTCGCAGCAGTCGGTCGCACATTTGAAACCAGCCCGCAAGCAATGAAGAAGCTCGAAGAAGAGCACGAAAATTGCCTCGGCCTCCTCTGCGACGTGCGCGCCCGTGAGACAGTTCAGCAAGCCATCGACCGCACAATCGAGCGCTTCGGCCGCATCGACATCATCGCAAATTGCGCCGGATACGGCGTCATCGGCGCCTGCGAGGACCAAGACGAATACGACATTCGCGACCAGTTCGAGACGAATTTCACAGGGACACTCAATATGATTCAGTTATCGCTGCCTCATTTTAGAGAACGCCGCTCGGGCCGATATCTCATTTTCAGCTCAACCTCTGGTGCGCTCGGTGTGCCGGGGTTGGGGCCCTACTGTGCTTCCAAGTATGCTGTCGAGGGGCTCATGGAGAGTATGCTATACGAAGTCGACAGCTTCAATATCAAGACTACGCTCGTGGAACCGGGCCATATGCGCCGCGATGACGTGGGTGATCTAGTCTCTGCTGAACCGTTTCCCAGCTCCGACAGCGTGCATAACCTCTCTTCGCCGTTACCTTTGTACGGTCATTTCCTTGTAAAGCCGCCCAGTGACCCGTATAACACGCCTACGTCGCCCGCGGCCCATGCAAAACGGATGCTCATGTGGCTAGGTGATAAACAGCCGGCTAGTGCGGTCAAGGCGGCGCATCTGGTTTGGCAATTGGGTCATTGCTCTTATCCGCCACTGAGGCTTATATTGGGAACTTATGCGGTAGAGAGTATCCGTGATCGGCTCAAATGTATTATCGAGGAGATTGAGGACTGGAAATATCTAAGTTTCCCATTTACGGATCAGCCAGTTGGTTCGGGGGGACAGGGAAAGGATAGGCATACGCCAAACATGCAGGAGCAAGATGAGGAGGGGAGAGCATGATTTGGTGGCGGACCTGTGACATTGAACACGGTCGTATGCTGGCATGATAAAACTGGACTGGGCTCGGATTTTGGTAGCCATCCTACCTTGATTAAAACTCCATGTTCTACACCAGGGCATTTGGTCGTGCCAAACACGCTTCCTCAAGTGGGCTTCCAGCAATAGCGCTGCCCGTCAAAATTTACCTATGGAGAACCGCTCATCTGGTAAAGGTATGGCAGTTAGCGTGACTGATCTTCGCCCTCCAGCCTCGCGCTATTCTAGCGTCTGCAATAAAAGAGAATACCGTAAGGATACTGATGGGTTCAGATGTCAATAACGTGTATGTATAGACACATTAGGCCATCGTCCAGGGTATGTACAGAGACTGGTATCAACCAAGCAAATCTATCTATATAGCATAGACAAGCAATCAAAGATTGAGGGAGTGCAAAACAGCCCACCAGTCCAAGCATTTTATATCTTCATCCTCAAACACCAACTGCACTTGCAAGATCAGCAAGCTTGACATAAGTGTACATATATCGATTGGATTAGACGATAGGCATCATAGCCGCTGAGCCCCCGTCTCAGGGCGACAGTGCACTAGATTTAGTGAGATAGTACAAAAACGCTCGCCGTCTATGTATCTGGGCGTTAATCATGAGCAGTCATAACACACGTTTCGCGGGCGTGCCAGATCCGCCGTTTCTTGGCCATGTCCACGCCAAATGTATCCGTGATGAATCCTTCGTCGGAGGGATTGGAGGTGGACGAATCATCCGTAGTTTTGGTCCCGTCGGTCTCGAAGGGTGGACGTAGCAGCCTGAGTTCTTCGACTGTGGCGCCAAATTCGTACTCGCCTCGGCAGAGGATTGTAACCCCGACGGTGGTACTGATGCTCTCGCCGCCGTTCAGAACGGGAAGAACCTGCTGTAGCATGCCTGTCCACGCGAGACGCCTGGGAAGATCTAGCGCAACGTTGCTTGGTTGGTTACGAAGGCTGGGCTGAAGTCGAATGAGGGGCTGGATAGGTCTGGAAGAGCGGTTGTGGACGGTGACGGTGAGATCCAGCATTTCGTCTGTTCCGACCTTGTACTTTGACTTCCCTGTTCGGATGACGCTACTTGGAGTGTCGTCTTCAGGGTCTTCGGAGAACGAAGGTTCCAAGAAGAAACTTGTTTCCACGTCCTCGAGTCGGAATGCATCGACCATGCGTGCAGTGAAGCGCATATTCCTCAGGTCAAGCATTCCTTCACGACCGCCCAGAGCTTCCTTCCATGATCCGCTGACTCTCTTGAGCAGCTCTTCGCGATACCAGAAAGCCTCCCGCGCCGCCGCTTCGGCATCGAATGTAAGCTTATGCGCGCTGACAACGAACTGCCTCTTTGACCCAGTCTTCAGAGAAGGTATCGAGGCGTGAGGGTTCTGTACGTAAATGCGGGGTAGAACGAGAACAAACCGAGATATTTGTCCTGGTTGGAGAACTTCATGGAGCGAATATTGGCCGGCCCCGCCAATACTCGTGATAGCACCTGCGGTTGGCTCCTGAGGTTTTTCCGTGACATGCAAAGTCACTGATAACGGATTCGGCCATGCATTTCGGAGGTCAAGGAGAAGTATGCAGTGGTCAGAACCATAAGTACCTCGCGCTAGGTTTGAGAATACGGTAGCGAAGTGGTCGCTGCTGGCGGAGTCTGGCGACTCAGGAATCGTGCTGAGGGGAGGATTGATGCCAATTTTTGAATGATTCGACCATGCAAAATCGCTACTGAAGGGTAGTATATCGCAGCGGGCCACTTCCAAGCTCGCGTTCACCGTTGCAGTAAGCGGAATGAATAACTGTCTCGTATAGAGGATATCAGGCAGTGCCTCGTAAGAGCCTCCGATGCTAGAATAATCGATCTGCACGGTAGCCTCTTGCAGTCCGGGGTTGCCGGTGACATCGACGATAAATGTACCGCATAGCCCTGCTGGGATGGAGTAGTCATTCGGATTCAAGCCCTCTCTACGCCATTGCAGAGCTGGCCTTGAGAGCTTCAACGCCAGTTCATACACTTCGACCGGCAACAAGTCCTTGTTACTTAGCGCCGTCTGAATCTGTTTGGTCGTCGAGTCTTGAGATGTAAATAAAATGAAATCAAGATCGCAAGACGACACGTTGCGCAGCGTAATGCTGAAGGACGATCTCTCCCCTTCAAGGACCATAATTGCAGATTGGCACAACGACAGTGACTCTATAACAAGCGAGGGCTGCGGCCGAATTACTTTCACCTCACAAGAGGACGTGTCAGGTCCTTTCTTTGTAGATGATTTTCCATCCTTGGAGAATGTTGAACTCCAGGATAGAGGACGCTCAACCGAAGGTTTCTTGGCTGCCAACCCGGTTCGTTTGAATTTGGCCTCTATATCAGGCTTCCAGAAGTTTTTGAATATGGGGAACTTTCGCTCTTTGCAATGTCGAACCTTGACAAAACAACCGGTTACCTTCAATGATCCCTCTTCTTGTGCTATCCCATATACTGTGATGTCCTGGAGACACAGTGGTGGAAGCAATATCCACTCTGCCACAGCATCCAGAGTCACACCCTCGCTTTCAAGGCGTATCCGTTCAATCTCAACTTCGAATTCATAAGGGTTCTGAAGGGTGACTTGGAAAGCCGCATGTTCCCCAGAAACCATGAGCAGCTCCGAAGCCTTGCCCGCTGCTTTGGAAAAGGGATTGTATAGAAACGGATCCTTGGTGGATTTTTCGCTGGTAGAAGTAACAGCGTCAAGCTCCAGTTTAGATCGCCGAACGGGTCTCCTAGGATCAGATAAAGATAACAGCTCAACGCCGCGAACCAAGAAATCATCCCAATACTCGGCCTCCAGACCTGCCACACCAAGCCGGTTGGCAGCACCAACGGTGCGTTTGATGTTGTTCAGCAAGCGATTCTGCTCATCCGGTTGCAAGCAAGGGGCAGTGTAGGAGGATCTAGAGAGCATAAGATCCCCGCGAATGGTTTGGAGAAGCTCAACGGTGAATCGCAGGACACCACCGAAATCTGGGAGTGCTTCACATGAGTTAATACACATTTTGAGAACATCAATCTTAAGGTTCAAGTCGCCGTAACGATCCAGGACGACGTGCCGGAAAGCCCGTTCAGTGATTGCTGTTATCGAGTCGTACTCGGAAGTCTGGGGATCAGTGGCACCCTCAAGCTTTCCCTTCCCCATCTCAACGCAAGATGAAGACTGTACGCCGTATACCTCCCCAATAGTAGCGAGAAGTGAGCGCATGCTGCGGTCCATATTCCCTGGACCCACGTCGAGGGCATTGATATCAAACGCAGTGTCACTGAGAGAAGACAAGCCTGCTGCAGGATGGATGCCAACTTCTGCAGCTCCAATTTTGCGAGCTGTTACTAGGGCTGGGACCAGGATAGACAGAAGCTCTCTTAAAACAAACGCCTTTTTTCGTTGAAGGTCAAGCGTATTTAACACAGAGACAACGCCGATGAGAATGGGTATAGCGTCTGTCGCAGGCAAATCTGAGCCAGCAGAAAGCGGCAACGCACGGAATAAAAAGTTTGCAATCTCGTTTTTCCGAAGTATCGTCAGCCCACGCGGCCGCTCAGGCCGGATTAGCTGCTGTAGCGGTTCATTCATTACAATGTGCTTCAGAGCAACGTCGTCCAGGGTCCCGTCACGGATGCGCGTGGCTGCTAATAACCTTGACAGACGGATGACGGTTTCAGAGAAGATAAGCTGTGGAAGAGGCTCATCCGTAATATTGGCCGCACGGTTATACAGGTGCAGGATATTATTTGCCAGGTCCGGTAGAAGATTTGAGAGATTCTGGAGAGAGATAATTCTGTTCCCCGCCGACTGGCCCGTCGTTTGATCAAAGGGCATTGCTGCCGAAGCCTTAGAAGACTTATCGGCAATAGGATAGCAGATTGGCGGAACCTTTGATTGGAAAGGGTTTAGCAACTAAGCATGTCCAGTGGAGGGCCATAACAAACCTGAAAGTCCATGCCCGCCCAAGCAAACATGAGTAAACAGAGGAGAATTGACTCGAGCGCTTTGGCATGCCACACATAGTCGCTGCAAGCTCTAGCGTTAGATGCAGCTTCAACGAGTTCCTTCAAAGCATCCGGCCACCGGCCAGACTGAAGAAAAAGAGTCCCTATTACCACACCTGAGCGACCCTTTATTCGGTTCTTTGTTCGATCTGTCGCGCTCAGGCCGCTCACTGACATGCGGTCCCTACTATGCTCTTTAGATGATGGTAAAGAACCCGGTTTGCCTAGGGCGGTGCTGGAACGACTAGACAGCTGTATAGATCGAGTGATCTCATCGAACGTTGTTGGTGTTTCATGGTCCTCAGGCACCGGTGAGCTTTGGCTAGAGCCTTGAGGGGTTTCGGGGGTAGTATTTAGATTTGCGGAAAGTTGTGCAGGCATTGTCATCCTGTGGAACAGCTTGTCTGTTGGGCGCCGGCGCAAATCTGGCCCGCGATGCGGCCCCCATGAGGAGGCTTTTGGCGACTCAATGGTTGGAATATTTTGAATTGTCTTGGCGAATTCGTCCATCTCAGAAAGGACAAGTGACGTGATATCACACAGTACAGTCTTCATCGTCGTAGCCTTAGAGGCCTGCGGGTGTGGAATCCATAGGATGTTATCCGGACCATTGGAGACTTTCCCGACCCCAGCGTAGTCGAATATCAAAAGCTGATGTACCAGCGCCCTCGGGTTCTTCTCCTTCAATAGCTCGAGGTCCCGCTGAAGTTGATCTAATCCCTCTGGCTTCGGTGACTTGTCGCTACCCGTTTTGGGACCGTTCTGGGTAATGTCGCCGGTGAGCTCCGTCCCATCGGCTATTGCAAGGACCACCAGTGGCTCCCTGAAGATTTCAAAAGGGTACAGTTCAAGGTGCGAGATGGGGGGCATGGAGGAAGAAAGGTCGTATAGGATGACGCCCGTGGGAAATGCTAACGGAGAGAACATGTCTATGTTTGAACGCTAATTAGCGACATGATCCATGCAACTTTTTAACTATAGGCAATGTCGAAAACTCATTTTTCCATCTCGAACCACTCACTTCGATTAGGCCGCGCATCGGGGCTAATATCGCCCAAGCGCACGACATTTTCGGCTTGCAACCTCGCGGCGAAACTGAGAAATCGAGATCGCTTAATCCGGCCTACAGGCAGTATTAATGCTCTTAGGCGCGCCGGCGCAATGGGTGAGAGAGGATCAACGCCCATCGTGACATCTGAATGGAGACGATGCGGAGGTGCGGGACTGCTTCCAACCGGGCGCACACGAGTGCCCTGAGGATCCTGCGAACCGCACCAGGAGAGGGCTCGGAGTCGTGGCTGGGGCTCGCGGTTGATGTCAGCAGTGCCTTGGTCACGTTGCCCGCCGGTGCACGGCAGCAACAATAAAGTAGTTCTGGGCTACTGTAGGAGTATATCTACTGGAATAATTCATTTAGCACCAGCTGTTCCTCCGGCCGCGTTCGAAGCCTGGGCCCGTGACCGCCTGCGGAGCGCCCTGCCCCAGCCACTACTGGCCAGGCAGTGCGGCACCGCTGCGTACACCGCCCGCGATAAGCTGATAAGCTGATAAGCTGCGTTCCGATAAGCGGGAGTTTCGAGGCATCCTCCGAGGCAACACAACACAGTCAATGAGTTTGTTTCGATCGGAACCCTCATGAGGGGCCTTCGTCTCTTTTTTTCATATCTACAGGCGTTTTGGATTCCTTTTGAATATCATCGATATTCTTCTCGTTTCACTCTGCGTCACTTCTGTTTGTTCTGTTGTTTTGCCGTTCAGCCGCTCCAGGTCCTTTTATTCACTTGCACAGTACCGGCAATCTGACTCTGGTGCTACCTAAGGGTGCTCTATGATCTCCAACCATGGCCCAAAATGTTGATTTTACTGCGCTCAAAGCGCGTACTATGAGATCTGGGGCAGACGAAGAAGCTGTCACTGTAGATACACGCGGCCTGATCTCGAAAGTACTGGCACGCTATTCGGGTCAATGGTAAGCTGAGGCCACTGTATTAGGTCGTTTTCGCATCATATAGATTTGCACTGACATACACAAAGGACGGTCTTGCGAGAGATGATACAGAACGCAGCTGACGCTAATGCGACGAAAGTTACGATCAAGTTTGAGACATTACCTTCGACCACGGTTCCTTTACCTTCAGCTGCCGACAGCGCGACTATGATCAAACATACTATATCCCACCATACACTCAAACGTCTTTTGATTACCAATAACGGTACACCGTTCAGTGAGAAAGACTGGGCTAGGTTGAAACGTATCGCCGACGGTAATCCAGACGAGACGAAGATTGGCGCGTGAGTTCTTCGTCTACATATATCTGGACCAGCTGGTTCATCAACTAACCTCAAACTTGCATTTCAGGTTCGGTGTAGGTTTTTATTCCGTGTTCGACGAATTCGACGAACCATTCGTCTGTTCCGGGACAGATGGCATGGCATTCTATTGGAAAGGCAACGCTCTGTACACACGCCAAGTGCAATTGAACGAGAAAGCCACTTCTGAGACAACATTTGTCTTGGAATATCGCAATGATACCTCGCCTGTGCCGTCTCTGGTTCAGTTATGCCAATTTTTATGCAGCAGCCTTACATTTGTCAATCTTCAATGCATAGAGCTATGGCTCGATGACTGCAATATACTGCGCCTAGTCAAAAAGATTGCCCCCGGCGTCACTCTCGCCGTACCAAAAGACCTCGAGACAAAAACACAAGAAGGGTTATTGACGATTACCAGTGTTACGAGGGAGGTTGCTCAAGTAGATGCCGCCTGGATGCGCGTCCTTGAATGGAACCCAAATGCAAACACGCTTGTCGAGGGTATTCGAGATACTACAGTATCGCTTCGCAGTTTTCTGTCTAGGCTCACCCAGAGTTCGTCTGGAAAGCCGTTGGACAGTCAGAAGAAAGAAGTCGCAGGGGACATAGGGGACTTGACGAAGATCTCAACAGCATCGGTTTTCTTGCATATTAATACCGCAAGCATTCAGACATCTATCAGTCAATCTCTAAGCAGCGAACTCGAACGAGCGACACTAAAGCCTCCACCTAAGAAGACGACAATTGCGGTGCTTACTGATACAAGTCTAACGTCAGCATCATCTGAACCTGAGTTTATATCCTCCATACTACCATCCAAGGGTGGTCGGGTCTTTATTGGGTTTCCTACACAGCAAACAACCGGTCTCAACGCTCACATCTCAGCTCCTTCCGTCATTCCGACCGTGGAGCGAGAAAGCATTGATCTGAACACGAGGTACATTCGCAAATGGAATACGGAGATGTTGAGAGCAGCAGGTATAGTCTGTCGAATTGCATGGTCCGCAGAGATGGCTTCAGTGAAAAGCAGAATAATAACGGCCAAGGAACCATCAAAGCAGTCAAAGATCCGAAAAGATGACATTGTAAATGTTCTTCCTGAGGCTATCCACACTGCAAATCAGTTTGTGTTTCGAGAGTCCACACCTTCATCCTTGCTCGGACAGACAGTTGAGGATGCGTTTTGGACTTCTAATAAAAATGCTTCCATCGAGTTGCTTTCTAGCTGCGGCGTTGTCCACAGTCATCAAGCGCGCCTAGCTTCCAAGGACTTGACTTTCCTGGACTCTATTCCTGTGTTGCCAGATGAGTTCGTGGAAGGCTCGAAAGAGTTCGTCAAAAAGTTGACACTGCTAGGACTTCTAACTGAAGTTACGGTCACTGACATCAAACGTGAATTAGAAAGCAGTTCGCTGCAATCCTCTCAAATCACCGAGTTCCTTGCCTGGTTGGGACGAAGGGCTGTCTCTGGTCAACTGGACATATACTCTGTCAGGAGCATACTGAATGTTGCGGTGGCTTCCGCCGATGATGAAAGTGGCAAAAACACTGGTTTGGTCATTTTTTCAGCTGTATCGCTGTTCTTGAACCCTCAGCGCATACCTGCTGAGCTGCCTTTACCACCCGCTGTGATGCCGTTCAAGTACACAAAAGCTCTGAGCAAAAAGGAGCTAGAGCTGTTTGGCTGGGAAGAACTGCATATAGTCCCCTGGTTGTGTTGGCTTATTAGCAACGTCGAGACCGGCAAACGACTCACTCAGGAGCCCGTGTTCGCAGCACAGGTGCTTCCAGTTATCTCGAAACATTGGGAAAGTCTAAGTCAGTCCTCGAAACAGGACGTGGTCGATCAGTTGCAAGCGCATAAAGTGATTCCTACTAGAGTCGGCATGAAGCGCCCGAGTGAAGCATACTTTCCTTCCGTCCGTCTCTTTGACGACCTGCCCGTTGTTCATGGACTTCAGGGAGTGAAAGAGAAATTCCTGTCTGCTCTTGGTGTGCGTAAGACGGTCGAGCTTGGTGTCATTTTCGAGCGTCTACTCAATACTCCTGGTGAATCTGATGAGAAGTCCCCGGGCCAGGGGAAATGGAGCCACGTCGACTTAATACGATATCTCGCATCCGTCAGCAATGATATTCCTGCCAGCGACATCAAACGGCTCAAGGATACCAGCTTCTGCACCGCAGAGCCCATCATAGACCATAATGGTGCGAGAACGCCAAATCAGAGCCACTACAAGGTTCAGCAACTCTATGAGCCGAATGATGCTCTTAGAGCCTTAGGGCTTCCGGTTCTCGAGTGGCCCGGAAAGTACATATCAAGCAGCGCCGAGGGCAAGTTTCTCGCTAGGCTGGGTCTTCAAACGTCCCCAAAACTCACTACGCTGACACAAATCATGGCCTCGGCAGCCCAGCGCAACGATTGGGCTCTACACGGAAAGGCCATGTCTTATTTCGTTACTGAGTTCGAGTCTAACGGATATGGCGCTTTTGATTGCGGTTCGACGGCCGATGAATTTCTTCCAACCGAAAATGAGAACCATGCAGGCGCGGAAATAAATCATAAAGCCAGTGCTCCCAGCAAGTGCTATACGGACGAAGGTGCTGCTCTGTTCGGATTTGATATCCTTCGCAAGGACCTTCACCGTCATGCTTCTAAGTTGGGTGTCCAACAACACCCCAAATTATCCTATTGTCTTGATATATTGATCCGCAGGCCACCATCTACGAAGCGAGACGCGAGGTCACTTTACAAGTATCTTGCTGGAAGGGTGTCTGAACTCACCACGCGAGATATAGACCGTGTTGGAAAAGCCGAGATAGTGCCGGTCCACATAGATGATAGCAAGGGCAGCACAACGCGCCGTGTGGCCCCGAGACTCTGTTATCTCGGAGATGGCGAAGACTATAAGGATATTTTTGACTTTGTGGACTTTGGCCAGGATGCAAACCTCTTCCTGATGGCCGTCGGGTCGAAAAGTGAACCAACTAAGGTGGAACTTGCACAGATGGTAGTCAGGGAACCGGCTCGAATATCCTCTACTCTGCAGTCGGCAGAGAAGTATCTGAGACTCCTGCGAACTTTGGCGGAGGACATGTCCAGTCTAAGAAAGCACAAAGATCTAATGCAAGAGATGCGGAAGTCGGCATTCTTACTGGCCAGTAAGGATATTCCTTCAACGGTCCAAGTGGGGAAAGACGCCAAGAAGACAGTCGATAATTCTGATGATGAAGACGAGGCTGAAGAAGAAGGTATCCGAGAATGGACGTTGGCCGCGGCCAGAGATACGATCGTGGTGGACGATTTCCAAAGCTTTGTACTATTCAAGGACCACGTTTTCTCTGTACGTCATGTCTCTGCTCGTTTTCAACCACAACTCACGCGACGCCTACTAATTCTGATGTCTAAACAGTCTCCTCAAGAAGAGATATTGGAGAAATTCTATCGTAGGTTGCTTATGGTCTACATCGCATTACTAAACCCGCTAATACTGCGCAGTTGCTTTAGGTGCCGTGCCGCTCAGCCAACTCGTGGAAGAGCGGGCGAACTGGGGAGCGGTGGTCCCTGACCAAATCGCCGGACTGAAACTACTGAAGTTGATCAGAGAACGCTCGAGGCTTTTCCTACATGACCAGCCTCTTGATGGAATCCGGCATGATAGTCGTTGGATTGACAAGAACCTCAAAGTGCAAGTTGTTCAGTCAATTGTTCTGACGAAGACTCTCAAAGGTCGCAATGTTTCATACCGTCAGGAGAGAAAGGCGATAGTTACGGAAGTGAACAGAGAATTTGTCATGAGAATATGTCCTCAAAAAACGTACGACTTCTATGAAATCAGTCAAGCGCTTTCCCACTTGATTCTCACACGACCAAAGCTTCATTCGGCTCTAACATTGGAGATGCTATTGAAAACTGATCTACTGGAGCTCAAAGAACGTGGTTACGTATGAACAACAACTATCCCGTGGTCTTGATGATATACTGATGACTTGACCATGTAGAACGTTGAACGCATTCTCAAGAAAAAGGCACAGGAGGCTCTAATTGCAGAATCTCGGCGTCAACAACAACTCGAGGAAGAACGTCGGCGTCTACAGGACAAGGAAACAGCCATAATCGAAGAAGCTCAGAACCAAACAGCTGAGAAGCAGGGCCCGACATCGATGCCTGGGGTCTTTCCGGACTCTCCTTCGTCAAAGGATGTACGGCCCGTTTCACCGACAGAGCCTAAAGAGAAGCGCAACCTGTTCTCCTCATTTACCAAGCATTTCAGCCAGGGTAACCGGTCGTCTTGGAACCCCTTCGGCGAGACTGCCCCGTTGCCGGATACTCCTAAAGATCATGCTCCACAGCCCCCGATTGAGCAACCGAAACCGAAACAGCCTCGCCATGAAGCTCCGGTGACGGTCAACTCTACCCTTCAAACACAAAGAAGTTTGCTCCAAGCCGTGCAATCCAGCCGGCCTCATGGCTCGTCTGGTGTCTTTTCCCGACCACAAGTCGATCAAATCAATGAATTGAAATCATATTGCGATGAGAAACCCGGCCATGACCTGGAGTTTGCTGCCACACTTCCGTGTGGAGTCAACATTCTCCTTGCCAGAACTGTCGAAAGGTCTGCATTCTTAGCCAATAATAGTAGGGGGATGAATTTGTTTGGGTCTATACTTGTAAGCATGCACTACATGCCCGTCCCTCCCTTCTTCACTACTACTCTACCATGCTACCCAGGACTCTAACACAAACTCACCTAGCTTGACTGCGCCGATGTATTCTCGCTGCGGCCTGATACTGTGAGCATCTTCTATGACCCCGGCTCCAAGGCCATTGGGTTCAATCGGGCTGGCAGTATATTCTGCAATTATCACTATTTTCAGCAGCTGCATGAGAAAGCACTGCTCCAAAAAGCGAATCCAGACCGGGCTGAGGCAATAGTTTATTGGTGGGTGGTTTTGGCACACGAGCTTTCCCATAACCTCGTTTCAGACCATAGCTCTGCGCATAGCTATTACACGTAAATCCTCTTTTCCCTCGTTGCCGCGACTGTTCAGCTACTAATTCTGCTGCAGAGAAAGCTTTGTGAGCCAATACTTCCCTAGGGTTGCAGCCAAGATCGCCAGTGCAACTACGACGAGTCCAAGTCCCGAGCAATGAGGGCGTTGTTGTTAGAAGAGCAATTTTTTTTGCCCTGTCAAAGAGGGTAGACTATAGACTTTGGTTAAGCTGTCTGCATGTATTTGCATATACATATATCCTTCCCATATCGAATTCTAGAAGGCTGGGGCGTCATTGAACCGTGGAACAATCAGTCCATGCGAATAGATGGGGACCCACCACTGCCAGACTGGCTGCCCGTCTTTTCCCTTAATTCTTCGTTTCGCCGCTGGCGCCACCACCAAACATCAAATCCCTTCGGTCTTCCAGAGACGCTCTCTAAAAACTTGACTCATCGAAGAGAAATCTTCGCCATGCGCGTCTCACATCAGAAATAAGCATGGCGGTGACTTTTACCAGTCATATCTTAGCGCTACCGACCCGCGATTGGCTGGTTTAGAAGAGCCTGATTCTCTTGGTCGATTATCATTTACTCCACCTTCGTCCTTCAAATTTGTAGTTTTGTTGCTATCTTTCTCTCTGTTAATCACGCTCTCATACATTCCAGCTTAGGCGTTCATGATGGCGCCGCTCCTTGGAGACTGGACGGCGTCAAATACCGGCCCGGACAACACCAGCGTTAGTCGGGGTATGCGGCGGAAAAGTATACTTTACGTCGACGCTTATGATTCTTTCTCCTATAATGTCATATCTATGCTCGAGGAAGTCTTAGGGGTCACCGTCACGGTGATAATGATTGATGCGGAATGGCCTGACGGCAACATGCTGGAGTTTCTTCAGCACTACGATGCAGTCGTCCTGGGACCAGGACCAGGGGACCCCAATGTCTCGGAAGATGTTGGTATTATGGCAGATATCTGGAATATCGACAGCTCGCATATGCTGCCGGTCCTAGGTATCTGCCTTGGCTTCCAAAGTTTGTGTCTTCATCACGGTACTCCTATCGGGAGATTACCGGAACCTCTGCACGGACAGGTTCGTCGGGTTACAACAGCACAGAGAGACATTTTTGAGAATCTACAAGATCTGGAAGTCACTCTGTATCACTCACTATACGCCATATATGCTGAACCAATAACGGCCCCTTCACGCGCCGGCGCGGCGCCTCCAAGTTCGGTCCTTGATGTTCTTGCCTGGTTTTCTATCCAGCCAGATGATCCCTCTTCCTCCGCTACGTGGATCCCAATGGCTGTTCGACATACTAAGAAACCTTTTTGGGGGGTGCAGTTTCACCCCGAATCTTGCAAGTCTGACCGGGAAACATGCAACGAGCTGCTCCGTAAGTGGTGGGATATGGCCATCAAATACAACAAGAGCCACGATCGTGAAGGGTATGGGAGTCCACCTATAGATATAATTCGACCTTCGTGCGAGGATACTCGTCTGCCAGATGCCGCTTTCACGATGCTGAATTGGAGTGCGTCCTCTTCCTTCAATTGCGCCTCTAGATCCCTCGCGTCATGTCAGCTGGATGGTGAAGCAGTTTGCGAACTTTTCAACAACCCGGGCGTTCCAACAGTTCTATTCCGGTCGAATGGCACTTACAGTGTCCTTTCGGTACCAAGTCCGGGGAGCTGGAGGCTCGAATACTATGCCCAGCGACGGTCATTGGTAATGCAACGCTGGCCACTGTCCTCTAGCTCCTGCGACGCCGTGAATGTTTCAGACACAAAGCTTGAAGCAGTGATGTCTATTTCTCAGTTTTGGGATGTTTTAAGGTATCTGATGGACTTGAAGAAAGTCGAATCGGGAAACAACGACGTTCCCTTTTGGGCAGGATTCCTAGGTTATTTTTCCTATGAACTCGGATTGGCTTGCCTTGCTCACCCGAAACATGAAAATGGAAGCCTTGGAGATGATTATTGCTCTCGAGGAAGCGCTGGCGGTGACGATCCACCAGATGTTAGCCTCTTGTGGACTGACAGGAGCATTGTTGTTGACAATGAGACAAGTCGAGTTACCATACAATCAACTAGAGAAGAAGATGATCTACCAGCTGGCTGGTTAGATCATGCTTTGAAAGTGCTGGAACGCGCCTCGTGCGTCGAGATCTCGCCAACATCGGAAAACAACGCCGCGGACGATGAGTTTCTAGATTCTGTTCTGGGCGAGGGAGTAATTCAGTTTCCAAGCGAAGAAGCCTATCTGAATCAGGTCGAGGCTTGCAAGGACGAATTAAGGGCCGGTGAATCGTACGAGCTATGTCTTACTTGCGAAACATCCATCACTCTTCCCTCGCCGGATTCTCCCATTGAGCGCTTCGAGTTTCCCTGGAAATTGTACAAGCGACTACGAAAATACAATCCTGCTGCGTTCAGTGCCTATGCGAGGTTGGGAACTGTCAAGATTGTGAGCAGCAGCCCCGAATGCTTCCTCAACTGGGACCGGTACTCCACCCTGGAGATGAAGCCGATGAAAGGAACTGTCAGAAAGTCTGACACCATGACGATGGAAAAGGCACGAGAAATTCTCGGGTCAACGAAGGAGATGGCCGAGAACCTCATGATCGCGGACCTCATCCGGCACGATCTCTATGGCATCTGCGGCGCGGGCAACGTCCACGTCGAGAAGCTACTCGAAGTGGAGGATCACGGGCGGGTCTATCAGATGATCACGCATGTCAAAGGGCATGTTGACCCCTGTCGACCTGGTTATGCCGCGAAAAGCCTACCACGGTTACAGTCGTCAAACATGTCTGGGTACGGACTGACTGCATTGCAGCGGTGTCTACCGCCCGGGTCCATGACTGGGGCCCCGAAGGAACGATCTTGCATGCACCTTGCCTCAATCGAGGGCCGGAAGCGCGGGATCTACTCTGGCGTGATGGGCTTTCTCGACCTTGGAGGAGGAGGAAGTTTCTCCGTCCTGATTCGTACGGCCTTTACCTCCTCTGGCGACAACGACGACATTCAAAAGTGGCGGATTGGTGCTGGAGGCGCGGTGACCATGCTTAGCAGCGCCCAAGGTGAGTGGGACGAGATGCTCACCAAATTACGGACTGTCTGTGGCATATTTATGCCCTCTCATGCGAGAAGATGATGATAAGGGCGGTGTGGTCTAACATTTGATGTATATATTTCGTGGCAACGATTTTCAACAGTTGCCTATGACGATTGATGTGAACTTTATATTTTTTTTAGACACGATAGATTGGTCGGATTCAACATTCAGCGTGGGAATGGGCCTTTTTTATTTTTGCATATGCTAAACATGCTTCAATACCTCAAGCTTTGCAGTTTTTTATTCATTCCGAAGGCTCGTGAAAGCATATCAATATTATTGCACCTTAAATACTCCCACGATCTACTCGTAGCATTAGTGCCCATAATCCCACAGGTTACCCAAGGTACTTCGATGCAAACAGCACAAACACAAGCTTGTACTCCGCGGAGTGCTACCAAACCGAGCTTCTTCCCTGGCCCTGCAAAACTCCATAATCCGCAAGAACATTTCGTTTCCAACATTCAGCCTAACCACGGCCCTTACGACTCGGAATGGCAGGCACTCAGGATCCCACCTCGTTGGAGGAAATCCTATGGCGATCCCCGTCCCACGTCCAGATGATGGGTGGATATCTTCATTCGAACAACAGTAGGGATCTCGCTCACTGAAACCCCATCTGTCGATTGATGCAATTAATTTTCTTCCGTGGCTAGTTCTATTCTACTTCGCCGAATCACCCTTCTTTGACGCAACCTCGAACAATGCCTCTCTAGCAATCCAGGCGAACTATAATGAAGCGTTCCGTCACTTCGTGGAGACAAGAGAAGCCTTTGAGGGCCGGCTGAAAACTATGCAGGGTCTGGAGTTCATGGTTGGCTATGACCCATTGCAGGCTGCAGCGGGGGCAAATGCCCAGTTTGCGCATGAACCGTCCAACGTGTGGGTAATCCGGAAACAGACGCGGCGGAAGCGATCCGGCATTGAGGACGAGGTCGTGGTCCTGGCCACATTCTTTGTGATTGGAGACTGCATTTACATGGCTCCTTCGGTATCAAGCGTCATTGGGAACAGAATTGTATGCCGTGGTGCCCCGAGCGCTCCCTGGTCAGTCAGTATCGCTAGGACTAACCTTGCATGTTGTTTAGCTTTCCGCAGTGGCCTCTCTCACGAGCTTGCTCAAGACTGCGTCAACTTTGTCCAAGTTCACCCCATCGCATGGGCACACATACCTCCCACCGGCGCCCAAATCAACGGATGCCAGTCAGCCAGGCGTACAGTCGCAAACAAGCAAAGAGAACACACCAATTCCCGATGCTGATGCTACAAATAAAATACAGTCTTTTACTGGACCACAATCTGGTAATGGTTCAACCATTCACGACATACGGTCCCTCGCGGACTCATTCAACCTTGTAGCTCGGTATGGAGATGAGTATATGGACGAGAGTCCATTGATGGGAGAGCCGGGATCCTTTATTCTGTCCAGGACGGGTGAAGCAGATCGCGGCGCAGCATCGAAGCAGCCACAACCTCTTAGTACAACCGTGCCAGGGCGAGTTGGGACGCCGCAAGCCAAGGCTGATACGCCGGGCAAAGTGTCGGACAAAGGCAGTTCTGCAGAGGAGCCCAAGCTGCGGAAAAAGAAGAGCAAACCGGCGAGTTAGCTTCGAGAATCTTGAATCAGCGATACCCATTGCTAATCAAACCCTGCACCGAAGAGTAAGCAAAGTATGTCTCGTGCTATGTAGCCATGCATTACCGCATAAATTGGAAGATAGGCAGTCATTGTAATGAAATGCTCACGATGTTCTGAGAAGCCCCTCCATATGACTCATCTCGTTGTATCTGCTTCAAGTCTGAGGAATTCGCCGCCCCATCTATAACGTCACTCAGTATTATAAAGACAACCGTACGCCCCCAGTCCCCAGGTCATAAAACCCTTCCCCGATCTCCAAACTTAATCGAACCCAATCCGTCAAAATGGCAACCACTGAAACAAAACGCCCCGTGGTCTGTGTCTTGTAAGTCGGGGAACGAAGCATTACCCCTCCCCCGCATGTATATTCTACGATTTTTCCTTCTACGACCCCTACAAGAAAAATCCCCTACACTCAAAGACCTCTCAATTGTCCCCTTACTTGAACAAGAATCCGAAATTAACAATGTCTACAGCTGCGGCTCCGTCGAAGGCACAAACCCTGCACATATGGACACTGCCCGACGCCTCGCCCAGATCTTCCACGAGAACAACATTCAGCTCGTATACGGCGGCGGCACAAAGGGCCTGATGGGCGAGATCGCGCGCACACTCGTCTCGCTCTCCGGGCCCGAATCCGTGCACGGCATCATACCCCGCGCTCTGGTGAGCATCGAACCCGGGTACAAGAATGGCAACAGCGGCACCCCCTCAACATCGTCCGCGTCTGCCGGAGGCGGCGGCAAAGAAGCCGAGCGGGTTGTCGGCGAGAGTCAGGATGGCAACGTTCCGTCCTCAGAGTACGGGCTGACGACGATCGTGGCGGACATGCACACACGGAAACGGCTGATGGCGGAGAAGGTGCGCGGGGGAGGCCCAGGGAGTGGATTTGTTGCGCTGGCTGGTGGGTTCGGTACGATTGAAGAGGTCATGGAAATGACGACGTGGAATCAGCTGGGAATTCATCACTTGGGAGTTGTGCTGTTGAATATTGCGGGATATTGGGATGGGTTATTGGAGTGGGTGAGGAATTCGGTTAGGGAGGGGTATGTGTCTAAGGAGAACGAGGGTATACTGGTGGAGGCCAAGGCTGTTGAAGAGGTTTGGCCGAAGCTGGTGCAGTATCAGGTTAGTGAGGGGAGGTACCAGTTGAAGTGGGAGGATGAATAGATTGAGACAAGGGTGTCTGCGGCCCTTTAGAGTGCTTGTATAGAGGATTAGCGCTGTAGAGCTGCTGATTAGTTATAGTTTAGACAGCTCCGATACGGATAACGGCATGACATGGCATCAGTGAAATTCTGTCGTATTATTTCCCCTAACAGGAGCATGGCATCTTCATGTCTAGGGCATAGACTCCATTTATGAATCGACCTCCATGGTCTCCTCGTCCTTCGTCTCACTCGCGTCTGACTTGTCCAGGGCTTCAAAGAGCGGTAGAAGCTGCTGTCCTTCGTAGAGCTTGAAGCTCTCAACTTTCCCACTATCCGCAAGTCCCACCACACCGACAGACGTGTTGTCCACTGTCAGCTCCTTATCCTGAGAGAGGGTCTCCTTCAAAGCCCTAAGTCCATGAGTGATAAGCTCGTCCCGGCTGGACTCTTCAAGTTTGTCAAGGTTGCGTTCCAGGTAGGTTCGGGCCATTTGGGATCGTGCTCCAATAGCGCAGGCAAGCATCTCCTGGGTCATACCGGAAGGCTGGAACTCGAATAGATGAGGACCGGCTTCATCCATTCCAGCAACCAGCAGACCAACACCATATGGCCGCTTTCCGTACTGTTGCGTGTTTGTTTGAGCACGGTCGGCGATCTGAGAGACAATACGGTTCACGGGCAGGGGCCGGCCGTAGGTCATTCGGGAGCCGAGACATTGTTGCTTCATGTAGTTGGAGAGAACGCGGGCGTCTGAAGCCAGACCGGCTATGGCGACGCCCATGTGCGAATCGACTTCGATGATCTTCTTCTGATATGAGGAGAGTTCTTCGGCGTTTCTCTATAGATGCAATTGGGCGTTAGACATTGTCCTTCTCGGCCGTGGGGATGATTACGGGTGCTGATGGGCTTCCGCCGTACCTTGAGGCCAACCAGCACGGCATGCGTCTTATTGACAAGCCCAACCACGACTGAACCTTGCTTCACAGCCTCCTGCGCATACTCTACCTGGAATATCCGGCCTTGCGGGGAGCTTCATCGGACAAAAGAGTTAGTGTTCCCGCTCCCGGAAGCATGGATGGGGAGCTCATACAAGGTGACCGCATCGTTGTCGTAGTTGTTCCTGAACATCGTGAAGGCTTGGGCAGGACGAGATTAAGCTCAAAAGACAGTTTAGCGTTCTCCTGTAGTAGAGGAGTTAGAAGGTACGAATGGAATAGGAGAGTTGATGGAAAGACGAAAGCGAGACAGCAGGCAGACAGCAACTGACGCAAAACATGGAGGTCCAAACGGAGCTCCACGAAGGCTGGTGGTAAGCGCCTCAGGCGCCAAGCCTCAGCTGCCGCTCTGAGTCCAACCTCAGTTCCATGCCTCACGTCACCCGAATTCGTTCATTGATTCATCTATCGATCAAGTAGATCAGTTGAGGCTCTGTCATTATCTTCTACTAATCTAGTCATATCCCAGTCGCTTCCGGCCCCCGCAAGCGATCTTTTACGATATCTGCGCCGTCGCCTGAAGCTTGAGCTTGACGCATCTGCGTCTCCGCAGTCATGACGGCTGGACTCAAAACAATCATCGCTCTCTCCTTTGTATAATGGCCTCTTTCCTGCCTAAAGCCGGCTGCTAACCCCTGAGCTGCGTGCAGGTCCTTGCCATTGGCTTTCTCCTTGTGATTCTCTCCTCGGCTCTCTGGCACAACTTTCTGCCGCTGACCGTCGTTGCGACCTACGTTATTGCGCCGCTCCCGAACTGGATATGTTCACGATGTGCGAATCCCGACGACTTTATGGACAGTTCTGGCAATGCTGTCGCTGACTTTGGCCGATTCTTGACCGGTTTTCTGGTACTTATGGGTATTGGTATGTTGGCCCACCTCAGACGATGGGACTCTGTCAGCCAGAGAGTGCTCCGCGCATCTTCGCGTTAATGGCGCTTCTTATACTACCTGAACTGAGCTAATATGTTCATTTCACAGCTCTTCCAGCAGTCCTCGCGCACAGTGGCGCCATTGAAGTGCCTGCGATGATCATGTCCATCCTCGGAGGTCTGTTGATTTACGGAACAATCATCAGCTTTTCCATGTTTTTCCAGGAACAAGAGGAGTTTTGAGTTGATAAATCATATTGAATGGGTGATGCTTCAATCCCAGAGCATCCGGCCGTTGTTTGGGCAGGCAATTCCCCGTCCCGTCTCGCAAATTCAAGGTCTCTGACTTATTATTTCCACGTTTCAACGAATATCTATTTTCTCGACGTATTGCTGGGAGTTCTTCGATGTGGGCTTGATATGATATTCTGTTCATGATGCATGCTGTTATTCGGCGATATGATTATTTGATGTACTATAGCCACTCGGCGATAATATATAGAAATTGCAGACAGCACCTTGCAGTCGGAATGTGTGCCAATAGTCTTGGGGGTTGATTAAAGGTCGTTCGTTGTCGTTGGTGCTAAAGCTTTCAGGTATCTATATGACATGACCATGATCACGTGAGCGCGCGCTTTCCTATTTGGCTCGCGTCGTTTCAATTATGCGACCAGCCGATGATCAAGTTACCAACAACATTAGTCTTGAAATGATGCGCTTATGATTGGTATGCTGCTAGGTGTAGGGAGTTCTGAAGATGAACATCTGGTCTGGTGTCATTGCGCTCGATAATCAATCGCTACTGCAAGGTAGGCGTTTTGCGCCGGTTTAAATCCACTCGCTAACCATACACAGATCTACAGCTCATCGATCAATCCGCTAGTTGGCAATCGAATATACTCCAGAGCTCTACTTTGTGCTTTAGATCCTACGTGAACCCGGCTCTCATACCTCTTTACGCGCGCGTCGGTCCGAACCTCGAACTCCATACGAGTAACCCGGGAACCTCGCGATGGCTAAAACACAAATTGCTGGGAAGCTTATGGCTAGAGGACGATGGCTGGGACCGCTTTCAAACAATACAATGTCCAGTCGGGCTCCTTCTGGATCTCGATGGAGCTACACGGCCAAGGGCGTCGGGGCCGTCGACCACCAACCTGGTGGTATATGGTATTTTGTCAACATCTACCTCGTATCAACGGCCACCGACGCCGCCTGTATCATTTTCACGTGGAACCGCAGAATTCGCGTCCAGCACCGTCAAACAAGAACTAAGGATATATGCTACGCCAATCTCCGGGTCCCTTATCGCAAGAGCTCAGGCGCTTCCAGATCGTGACGACACTGAGACCATTGCCGGCCATGAACAGCTTGCCCAGTTTCTTCCGGATATTCACTCACCCAGTCCCAAGCGCAAGCGCGTCGAAACCCTATTTGAATCGGTAGCTCAGCATCATAAGCGAGTACGGCACAAGGGAGGCGAGGCTGTATCCCAGCTGATGGCCCAGAGCATCTTACAGCCCTCACAACAGCTGCAGGGCTATAGAGTTAAAAGAGAATCAGAAGAGCCAGGCCTCCCAATACTGAGCAAGATCGCTTCGCACCGACCTAGGTCACTCTCGATCAGTTCGAATCTGCACCCGAACAAAGCGGCGGAACCTCGCCCCGAGAATTCACGTCCTAGCAGCAGTTGGGGTTGTGCAAGTCAGCTCTCCTCCAGAAGGGCTACACCGGTATTAGGGTTATCAACGGAAGGCCCCACACGCAGAGGAAGTGTCTTGTCCGCTGTCTTACCGCCCTCCGAAGGCAAGGAGACTCCTCTGGAAACTAAGCCTGTGGAAAATATCATCGCCGATAACAAAAACACTATAACCCGTACGATCTTGACGTGTATGCGGTTATACGGTTTCAACCGCACAGCGCGCCCTCTATCTTCCAAAAACCTCTCTCATAGTGACATAATTCCTCCACACATTGAAGGAAGGGACTCACAGATGTCCGGTGACAGCATGGCTTTACCTGCTTCGAACCCTAGCACTGATGAAGACGAATTCAAAGCCATGTATCACGCGACATACCGTGCTTCAACTTTTGCGCTGCGAAAATATCTGAAGGAACCGTCCGATGGTGAGGATGGTTGTAAGCCAGCACCACTTATTCTGGAAAAAGGGAAGGCAATGATATATATTGATGGATTTTTAAAACTATTTTGTGAGGAAGAGCACTGAACTGGCTGGACCAGGCTACGAGCCCATGATGTTATGAAGTATATAGGCTATTTGCATAAGGAGGAGATAGAAACTATTGATATGATAATGCTTGATATGAGCATGATAGTACTGGGTCCGCATTGAGGTTAAATCTGATAAGAAACCTAAGAGAGCATTGTGTTGATGGCTGAAGCATTCACTGCTTCATCGTATACTCCGGAGCCAGATTTTCCGAGCCGGGCAGCTGCCGGGCAGCTGCATCATCATCCAACCTCAAGCATACAATCGACGACGATCGCGAGCATAACAAGCGCCCCTCCTACTCTGACGATTACCGATCTGTTAGACCTAATACAGCAAACTGATTCAGGATGGACGGCTCTGAGAATCGGCTATTCCGCTTTTCCAAACCAGAATGGCTCAACAACTCGACAGTCCGCAATGCGGGCGTCTACACATCAGGCGCACTGGTAAGCAGTCATCCAGCTCCCATCCTAGACCACATCATAGCGTCCGGCTACTTGATCTTATGACTGATTACAAGATATAGTTTTCCCTCGGTTTCTTCTTCCTCATCGACGCCGCAGCCTTCTCACATAGCTTTCGCAATGCTTCAACCGTGCACGTCAAATTCGTCGATTGGATTCCGGGAATCTGCTCCGCGCTGGGAATGCTTGTAATCAACTCGATTGAGAAGTCGCGATTGCAAGCCGACAGCTTTAGTTACAGTGGGAATGGCGTTGCGTGGAAGGCGCGGTTTGTCCTGTTCCTGGGGTTCGCGTTGCTTGCTGGTGGTTTGGCGGGAAGTGTGGTAGGTTCTATATCCGATATCTTCGTGGGGGCATTTCGTGTCTGGTCCTGTGCTTAGTCGGCTTGCTAATTGTATCATGTTGTTAGACGGTCATGGTTCTCAAGTACCTTATGCCGAAATATCCGCTGCCGACGCTGTATTTTGGGATTGCGAATGTTATTTCGAATGGGCTTGTGATGCTGAGGTGAGTTGACCTGTAAAGAGGTGAGTTGATGCATTTGTTAACTCACGCAGCTCGGTTGTTCTTTGGATCTCTCAGAACATTGAAGACGACTACACCTATAACCTCGCGCTGTAGGTGTTGTTGCTACAAGCAGTGTGATGTCGATGAGCCCCCTTTGGTATATTACCCCGAAATGTTTTATTCATTCTTCGAACAATATGTGTGTACTGCACTTTATGCGACTCGGTCTATGTACTAACCAACATGTTTTATTTGATGAACGGCGTATGCGGATTGTGATGCATTGTTTATTCTGTTGCCTCTATATTTTATCTGGTCGATTATGCTTTTGATAGCGCCAAGTTTATTCCCGACTGTTCTGGATTTGTACTCCGTGGAGCAACGTTCAATGTGATGCCGCAGGCAGTGACGAAGTGGTTACCCGCTGCGACACGTAGCTGAGATCTCCGCTATACGTATATGGTCAGATTGCATGCGTACGTATGCGCATAGATGTGGCGGCACGTGGAACAACGGCGCCTTCAATGATGGTAGCCTGTCCGGTACACTGAATTAGGCAGCCTCGAGGTAGTTGACAAGGGGAGCCGTAAGTGAGGCCGCGAAAAGCCTCTGCCTGTCTTTTACACAAACGCGACAGGTCCGTTGGAGAAACATCGTAGGGTATCAAAATTAGGGGTTGTTCCTTCAGCACGGGATGGCGACTAGGATGACGGAGCGGGATGCGCTCTCAGTTTATCCATAATCGCATCAATGGCCTCCATGTCTCCGGCGTCCACCTTTTCACTGGAATATTCCTCCGGAAGGTGCTTGACCAACTCATTTGTGCCCGGTTGGTAGTTGCGGACGGCGGAGGAAAGAGCGTAAACAGCCTTCTTACGGGCTGCAGGGTTGGGGTCTTCCGTAGACATGGAAACTAGGGTCGGGATGGCGTTCATGACAATAAGCTATTCAACAACATCGTTAGCTCTTTCAATTGCGGGAAATGTCTCAATCGAACTTGCCTTATCCTGTGCCTTTTCATTGTTTTGGACAGCCGTCCCAATACACCACGCCGCCATGCGTCTCATATCTGCCTCCTCGTGCTTCAGCAGCTCAACGAGGGGAGTCCACAGACCCAGTGGCTCCAAGTTATTCGCGTTATCTATACCTTCGATGAGCTGTTCGAAATTGTCAAAAGCGATCAGCTTGTTTTCGAGATCAACCTCGTCCGAGCGCAAAGCTTCCATGGCGGCTTTCATCAGATCGGCGTCGGAGGGGCCGCCAAAAAGCGCGCTGAGCATCTCCGGCGTGATGTTGTTGCGGGGGGGCTGGGTGGCATTGCTATCGGACGACTGCTGGCCTGCTGCTGAGTTTTGAATTCCCCATTTGAGGAGGTTGTTCATGTTTGGATCCATGCTGTCTGCGGTTTGTTCTCTTGTTGATAGGCCCGGGCCGACTCAAAGTAGTATTTAGCGGAGTATGTCCAAACGGAATTTTCACAATTCAGATAACTGGAAATCACTGGGAGGTAGCATAGATGGGTAAAGATAGTTATGTCTTGTCAGGCAAAAAGAGGCGGCGAGCGCACGGATGGAACCAAAAAATGGTTCTTGTTGGATCCAGACACTTCATGCTTCAGCGACGACTTTCCACCTTGTTCTACGCTAAGCAGGCTCCCAAGTGGGCACACAGGGAACGAACGTTCTTATGCACTGTGCTGCTGGTTTATTACAACTCTGAGAGCTGGAGCTCTATCAGATACTTTTCACTTGCACCGAACCTCAGCTAGGGCCTTGACATCCATGCTTCTATCTTTTTTTTAGCGGTTTCATATCCATATCTTTGTTACCTACCCCGCCATGCTCGAGCCCCGCGATGCTGTCATACACCTAGTCTATGCGGCTTAATATCGGCCAGGCTTGAGGTGCGAAGTACAGATTTAGTATCTTGCTGTGATGCATATTAGGGATTTGGAACACATCATCAACATGCCTTGCATCTCAACTGCGTCGCCACAATGGCATTGTAGGACTCGCTCTATCCTGAGAAGGCGGTAAGCTACGGGGAGGGCATCGATGCAAGGTTGGAAGGTGTCTGGACTTGAATCTTGATAAAATGAAGAGATACTAGAGAATTAGGCTAGGCATAGTCTTCAACCGAGCGAATAGTGATGGGGTTCAGGCACAGCGTTTCCTAATTACGACGAGGGGTAGGAATTTGGAAGCCTGGATGCCCTTTAGGCATTGGAAATCGGGGAAAGCGAGTCGTCATCGTGCTTACAAGCAGTAGCAGAGGGCGATAATAATAGAACGAATAAGAGGAGAGACCCTGTTCTCTGGATTCTGGAAACTGGAACGCGCCGGTCTGAACCATTGGGATGCTGGCGGCCTTGGATTTCACCCTCTGCCCCACGAGGATTCATCATCGCTCAAGGCCACCTCAGTTTACAATCGTTCTGCCTGAGAGGCAACACTCGGGTGGCAGTACAAAAGAATCCATAGAACTTAGATGGCCGTAGCAGTATCTCTGCGTATTCGTTTTTCCTGAAGAACAACGTGGTGGCGGTGACAAGGACTAGACGAGACTAAGCCCCGTTGGCGCCTAAGAGACTAGACTAAGTCTACAGCCCCTTTCCAGTCCTTCTGTCCTGCTCGAACCTCCCTGTCGAGCTGCTGCTCTGCTGACTACTCCGCTACCGCTACGCTCCCACCGACCACCACCAAACTCTCGACTCCCCTTCTCTCCTCCACTTTCTCCCCAAACAACAACCAACTTCTCGCTCTGACCATCATCCCATCTCTTCTCCTCGCTCCCTCCCTTGCTGTCATCCTTCTCATTTCCTTTCTCTCCTTGTTCTTCGTAGTTCGATTCTTAATCCACCCCTAGACATCATGGAAGGTAAGGTTTCTGCCACGCAACGCCTTGCTTCCTCGCTTGCTCACTCCCCCTCCCCTCCACCCTTGTCTGCCAAATCTGCGCTAACCTGTCCGTCTTTGGCTGTCTTCAGAGGAAGTTGCTGCTCTCGTTATCGACAATGGGTATGTCATGATTGTGTTTTGATGGCATTCCGATGTCAGATTGTCCTCCGTTGTTGTCCCTGAACATCCGCCTGGTCTCGCCGCTGGTCGCAATGGCCTGCCGTCGTCGACATCTTGATTGGACATTGTCCTTGATCTATGGGAAGGATTGTTCAACAAGATTAGCACGACTATCCTACGTTGCAATCCATGGTCAAGTTCGAATGCTGACTCGGGGTTCCCTAGTTCGGGTATGTGCAAGGCCGGTTTCGCCGGTGACGACGCCCCCCGTGCCGTTTTCCGTAAGTCGCCCCTCAATTATCCCATATACAGCCCTTTCTTTCTTTAGTGGTCCTGTCACCCCCTGTCTCCGAGCCTCCTCGGTGCAATGTGTTCACTGTGCTCTTGGCACAACGGTGGGCACATAGAGGGCGGTGAACGTCCCCCTGTATCTTCGCGATTCTATGCCGAGTACAAGAAATGGCTGCTAACTATGTCGCAAAGCCTCCATTGTCGGTCGTCCCCGTCACCATGGGTAAATCTCTCCGAGTATTCCCCATTTATCAGCCCGGCGGTGACCACTGACGCTCGAAACAGTATCATGATTGGTATGGGTCAGAAGGACTCGTACGTTGGTGATGAGGCACAGTCCAAGCGTGGTATCCTCACGCTCAGATACCCCATTGAGCACGGTGTCGTGACAAACTGGGATGACATGGAGAAGATCTGGCACCACACATTCTACAACGAGCTCCGTGTCGCTCCCGAGGAGCACCCGGTTCTCTTGACCGAAGCCCCCATTAACCCCAAGTCCAACCGTGAGAAGATGACCCAGATCGTCTTCGAGACCTTCAACGCTCCCGCCTTCTACGTCTCTATCCAGGCCGTTCTGTCTCTGTACGCTTCCGGTCGTACCACTGGTATCGTTCTTGACTCTGGTGACGGTGTTACTCACGTCGTTCCCATCTACGAGGGTTTCGCTCTTCCCCACGCCATATCCCGTGTCGACATGGCTGGTCGTGACCTGACGGACTACCTGATGAAGATCTTGGCCGAGCGCGGATACACCTTCTCCACTACCGCTGAGCGTGAAATTGTCCGTGACATTAAGGAGAAGCTTTGCTACGTCGCCCTCGACTTTGAGCAGGAGATCCAGACCGCTTCTCAGAGCTCCAGCCTCGAGAAGTCCTACGAGCTGCCCGATGGACAGGTCATCACCATTGGCAACGAGCGCTTCCGTGCTCCTGAAGCTCTCTTCCAGCCTAGCGTCCTTGGTCTGGAAAGCGGTGGTATCCACGTCACCACTTTCAACTCCATCATGAAGTGCGATGTCGACGTCCGTAAGGATCTGTACGGCAACATCGTTATGGCAAGTACTCCCTATTTTATCCCATTGCATTAGATGACACTAACGATTCAATAGTCTGGTGGTACCACCATGTACCCCGGTATTTCCGACCGTATGCAGAAGGAAATCACTGCCCTCGCGCCCTCGTCCATGAAGGTCAAGATCATCGCTCCTCCTGAGCGTAAATACTCCGTCTGGATCGGTGGTTCCATCTTGGCCTCCCTGTCTACCTTCCAACAGATGTGGATTTCCAAGCAGGAGTACGATGAGAGCGGTCCTTCGATCGTGCACCGCAAGTGCTTCTAAGGTATGCATCGCGTTAGTTTCAACAAAATTGTTTTTGCTCTAATAGCTATAGCTCTTGCGTTGTATCTGGTCGTTGTCGCGTATTTCCTGTTGTATCAAATGATCAAACGAGACAAACGGTGACCCACAGAACGTCTCTCACTCGCACTAGGAGGAAGAATGCCTGAAAAGGGAACTTTGATTTTAGCTGTGGAATAGAGTCGGTTTGTTTGAGGACGCTTGTCACTCGGCGCAGGGAAGGCAGCTTGTGAAAACCGAAGGCAAGAAAAGTCAATGGATACTGCTGTACATGGGTTCTATTGCCAGGTGGTGGAAGCTTCCTCTCATATAGTTCAATTCTTGTTTGAATCTGTTTGTTTCATATTTGTTGGACAGCTTTCTTTCCCTCGGACGATCTTTTTCGAGCACGGCTGCCGAGAGTGTTGATATCCCGTGGAGCTGACGAGCGCACCTTTATCACCCTTGTCCTTGTTTTGTTCTTCTATTCTCATTTGACCTGTTACTCCTTCCTCCTCTTGACCCTGCGACATTCTCTACCAGCGCGTTGCCAACAGCGAACTTGATATCAGTATAGTATGACAAAGTAGTCTAACCAAAATAAATCTTAGTACAGTTCCATCGTGTTAAATCAATATTAAGCTAATCTTTGTGCAACAACCCAATATGCGGTGCCAGTTCTTGCATGGCCAAATGCCAGGTACCGACGGGAGCATCGGCTAGATTAGTAGATACTCCGTACAGTCGGAAAAAGACTACTTAACATTCGCCACCTTGGCAAGGCGCTATTCTGGTTGCTAAAAACAAGTACTCCGTATATAGGTCGTGGGCCCTACGGAGTAGTCATTACTTAGAGGTAAGTCTTCAAGATTTGTCGAAGTTAGAACCAAAAATTTTCATAAATCACAGCCTACTCACCACCTCTACACCTAAACTACAATAGTCCGAGTCGGTGTATCGTTATGTAAAATCCCGTACGTATCTAAAGGTAAGTTCAAAGGTATCTAATAATAAGTTCAAAAGGTCAACCTCTGAAGCAATCGCACATAGCAAGATAGGAAGAGTAGAATCATAAATCGAGCACCACGCAGAGTAATATGTAGCTGTATCGCACGTAATGTCATAAACATGAATATAAACATAAGCCGTCCTTTTCTCTTTTCATAAACCCCATTATATGCACAGATAGAGAGTACTTCAAAATTGCCAAAACCCTAACCCCGACTTCGGAGCATCTAAGCATCCCAACTCTCGAGACCGGAAATAACACACTCCTCCTCCCCCTCAGCCTTGACCTTGAGCTCACCGACCTGATAAACAGTCTCGCCTTCCTTCTCAAGAATCTCCTTAACGGCTTTCTCGGAGCCCTTTTCGACAACAATGACCATGCCAATACCGCAGTTGAAAGCACGGGTCATCTCGTGGGCGGAGACGTTGCCATTCTTCTTGAGCCATGAGAAGACAGGCGGGAGTGTCCATGTCTTGGCATCAATGTGTGCCGTGAGGGTGGGGGGTAGCATGCGGGGAACGTTGTCGACGAGACCGCCGCCGGTGATGTGGGCGAGACCCTTGATGTTGGTTTGAGTGGAGGAGAGAGCTTTGAGAAGGGGCTTGACGTAGATGCGGGTCGGTGTGAGGAGGGCGCGGCCGAGGGTGAGGGGCTCGTTCGATGCGGTAGAGGGGGAAGAAGAGGGCATGGTGAAGGGGGCGGAATCGCTGTAGCTCAGACCTGAGCGCTCGACGATCTTGCGGACAAGGGAGTAGCCGTTCGAGTGGGGACCTGAAGAAGCCAGGGCGAGGAGAATATCGCCGTCCTTCATGGCTGATGTGTCGGGGAGGATAGTGCGGGCGTTGGGGCCGGAAGTGTTAATTGCACCGACGGCGGCACCGACGGCGTCGTAGGTGTCGTCGATGAAGAGGCCGGGCATCTCAGCAGTTTCACCACCAATGAGGGCGCATCCGGCTTGAATGCAACCGTCTGCAACACCGGTAACGAAAGCCGCAGCGGTCTCAACGTCGAGCTTGCCGCAGGAGTAGCAGTCGAGGAAGAAGAGAGGCTCAGCGCCCTGGACAACGAGGTCATTGACGTTCATGGCGACAAGGTCAATACCGACGGTGTTGTGGACGCCGGCGGCATGGGCAATTTTGAGCTTGGTTCCGACACCGTCAATGGCTCCGATAAGGGTAGGGGACTCCGGGTGGTAGGCGGAGTTGGCTGCGGCAAGAGAGAAGAGGCCGCCGAAGCCGCCAATGACGGCGTCGGTTCCGGCACGCTTGGTTTTTGCGACGCTGCTCTTGATTTTGTGGACGAGATCATTACCGGCGTCGATGGAGACTCCGGCTGAGGCGTAAGTCAGGGACTGCTGGGCCTCACGCTGGCGGAAGGCACGGTGGGCAATGTCTTTGCGGTAGAAGACGTCTTCGAAGTGAATCGTTTCGATACCGGCATAGCTCTTGCGCAGTGCCTCTTCGAGGCTAGATGCGGTAGCGGTAGCTGCGATCACACGACCACCGGCAGTTTGTAGCTCGTCTCCAGCAAAGTTGGTTCCAGCGTGGAAGATCAAAGTACCCTCTGGGGCTGGGTCCAAAGTGATCTTCTTGCCCTTGGCGTACGAACCAGGGTAGCCGCCCGCGACGGCGATCACGGTGGTAGAGAAATTGGGCTTGATTTTGATGGAAACGCCGTCGAGCCAATGTTCTGTGCAGGCCACCATGATCTCAGCCAGATCGGTGTCGTCGCTCAAGAGAGGAAGGAGAGTCTGCGTTTCTGGGTCTCCGCCACGGACGTTGTATTCGAGAACTTTAGGGCCGTTCTTGGTCATCATGAGGCCGGTGAAAAGAATGCCAACAAAGGGGAATCCTTTATAACTATTAGCAATGCACTTGAAAAGGGAGTCTCACTGTGGGGCACATACCCTCTCTTCTCATCCCATCGATCGATGGCTGCACAATTGTACGGTCAATGTCTTCAAGGACCTGTTTAGATGAGATGGGAGTAGGAGCGTAGCAGCCCATACCTCCCGTGTTGGGCCCCTGGTCTCCGTCGAAGATGCGCTTGTGGTCCTGGGCAGCGGGAAGGGACTTGATACTGTAGCCGTCACTGAAAGTCAGGACGCTAAGCTCATCACCTTCAAGGTATTCTTCAATGACTACTTCATTTCCCGCATCACCGAAATGGCGGTCGAGCATCATTTCGCGGAGCGCCTGGTGAGCTTCCTCCTTGGATGTCGGGATGATGACTCCCTTTCCACCAGCCAGTCCGTCGGCTTTGATGACAACATTGTGGGATACACTGTCCAAGTATTCGCGAGCTTTTTCGTACTCTGTGAAGTTCTCGTACGCAGCGGTGGGAATATTCTGGCGTTTCATGAAATCCTTCGAGAAGGCCTTGGAGCCCTCCATGCGCGCCGCGGCTTTTGACGGACCGAAGCACCTGATGCCAACTTTCCATTCCGTTAACAATGTTTCCGGTAGATCAGTGAGAGCAGAGACACTTACCGGCCTGGAAATATCCCTGAATTCCATCAACCAAAGGAGCTTCCGGACCCGGAACCACGAGGTTGACTTGGTTCTTCTGGGCAAAAGCTACCAGTCCCGGGTAATCATTTCCCTTCACATTGGCATTTTCAATCTTGCTGTGAGCCCCGGCAGCAGTACCACCATTTCCTGGGGCGACATAGACGATGTCGACCCGAGGGGACTGGCTCAGTTTCCAGGCTAGAGCATGTTCCCGTCCGCCGTTGCCGACGATGAGGACGCGCAGACGTTCCTGGGCCATTGTCGGGTGTAGAATTCTCGAGATGATCTATCTGAATGTCGCACAATGTTAAAGAAAGGTCCGCATTTAATCAGAGAACAGCGCAAAGATTGGCAGTATTGGTCATGGAGGGGCAAGTGTAAGGTGCACTTCCGCCATTGATGCGAAGCACTAAGCACTGCCAAGATTCAACCAATGGCAAAGATACCATGTAACTTACCTCAAGAGAAGCCTAACAGGAGACAGACTGTCAGACAGCAAGAAGATTGGTTGTGCAGAGACAGAAATCGATCTCGACCCTGTCGAGTAACTTTTTTCTGATCTGCCGACTGCGGGGCTTTTTTCTCCGAAGTCTCCCCGGATTCGGAGCATAGATTACCCTCTCTGTACTGTATTGTATGATACTCAACGAAGGCGGTGAGGATCTGCGGCCAGAAATTTATTGGTGAGACAACCAAGTATCAGTTCTCTTGTCATTCATTCTGTTGGTTGTTTCAGACGGCCGCTCTCTTTTCACTGTTCATGCCAGAACTTCCCTCAATCGACCCATTGACGCCTTCATTTGGAACTCGGGTCATATGTTTCGGTCCTCGCTGCGGTCTGTAGCAGACCCTCTCCGTGAACATGTCTGTTTTTCTTGCATAGCAAGAGGCCTCGAGGGTCCTGCTCAGGCACGCTCCTTCCATGCCACACTTTTGTCGCGTAGTGTATCCGATAGTTCCCCGGAGATCACACAGGGTCGATCACTCGACGACGCTTTCCAAACGCTAACGCAGGTATGTGGCCAACCCCCGCGCTCCCCCATTCCGACGCAGACTACGGGAAAAAGCTGAGACGCTGACAATTTTGGTTGATTAGACCTTAGACTCGCAGAAAAAGAGAGAGCACCAGAGACCCGAAGACGCGCAAGAGTCCCCGATACAGAAGACGAAACCTCAACGGTCCCTGAAAATCACTAAATCACCCCGAGCGGCTCATCCTGAGATCAGGAAACGCCGGGGGAGTCCTAAGGATGAACATGCCGAGCCACCGGGTCTGAAAGCTCAAGTGAAAAATGTGGTCGAAAGACTAGATCAGAAGAAGAAATCAGCGGACCCTGGAAAACGGCTTTCACCGGGGGAATTTCCCAGGCCCCCGACAGCACTTAGCAGTGCGATAACCGAAAGGCAGAGAGGCAAACTGAACTCTACAGCATCTGCCGTCAAAGGTGCGTATCTTCTAACAGCCGTCTCATGATGCGATTAGAAACTAATCGATATACAGCGGTGGATGTGGAAACTCAACCTGTTCCAGAGCTTTCATTTGGCCTACAAAGGGTTCTTTTTAAGTAAGTGGACACTCGGGTCACTCGCCTACTACTGTAACTAGCAGGCTAATGGAGCTGTGCTCGCCTCTTACAGTCCTGGAGTATATCAGCTTCGCGATCCCCGGTCCCGCGTCTATAATTTCGATCCGTACCTGGGAACTATCATGCCCGTGTCCGAGTTTGACTTTGCAGCTTTAAAAGAATATATCACGAGTTCGAGGGATGACACCTTGCGGAACATAGCGAAAGAAAACAAGAAGAAATATATCGGCTCGTCCTCCAGTATGACAAGCGTCCTATCGCATTTTCACTATTTATTATCAGCATGGCGCCCCATCAATACGAGCTCGCTCTCCCAAAGCTTTCCGGATCAAATGAAAACATTCACCCGTATAATGCGTGCCCCGGCAGCCATGTTCCTGCGGTATCAGGACGGTGTTTACGCGATAGACGCTGATAAAGAGTTTGACACAGCCAACATCCTCATGAACCTGGGGAAATCTATGGAGAAGCTTCTCACCCTACCGAAAGAGGAATTTGAGCGCTATCGAAGATCCCATGAGAACAAAATCACTCCCGAGGAGGAGTCCTCAACCCCGGAATCCTATCACTACTCTACTCTGGGAGACTTCATGATGAGGTCGCAGCTCGATGCATACGACCCGCGGCTGCCGGGTACAGGGATGTTTGATCTAAAGACACGTGCCGTCGTGTCTATCCGGATGGACGCACGTAATTTCGAACAGGGTATAGGTTATGAGATCCAACAGCGTTTCGGTCGGTTCGAGTCTTACGAACGGGAGTATTATGATATGATTCGCTCTGCCTTCCTCAAGTATTCGCTTCAAGTGCGTATTGGGCGCATGGATGGTATCTTTGTGGCGTTCCACAATATTGAGCGGATCTTCGGATTTCAGTACGTCAGTTTGCCAGAAATGGATGAGACCCTGCACGGCACATCGAACACGACGCTCGGTGACGCGGAATTCCGCCTAAGTCTCGAACTCTGGAACAAAATACTGGATAAAGCCACAAAGAAGTACCCAGGGAAGTCTCTTCGTTTCCACTTTGAGGCCAGAGAAACCGTCAGCCCGTTTATGTACATCTTTTTTGAACCCGTCACCGATGAAGAGATCCACGCTATTCAAACCAGGAACAAGGCCGAAATTGATGCATATCAACAACGTGTTCTGAACCTACCCAACCACGAAGATCAGTATACTACTTTCTTGGATGAGGAAAACTACGCAGAAACCACGACCGAGGATCAGAGTGCTTTTAATACTTCTCTGAATGAGCAGAACTCCGCAGAAACCAATGCCGAAGATCAGAGTGCTTCTACTATTTCATTGAACGAGCAGAACTCCGCAGAAACCACTGCCGAAGATTTACCACCAGCGTCTGAATCCGAGGATGTCTCAGTTGACACGGAGCTCCCTCCAGAATGCGAAGAGCGTGAGGTGTCCGCCATTGTCCTCACGGTTGTGAATTACTTGAATTATAAGCCAGTCGAACGCGTTGACAAGATGAAGCACAACGACAAGTGGACTCTCAAGTACGAAATGAGCACTTTGGAGGGTCCAAAAGTTCGGAGCCTTTACCATGCGTGTGTTGCCCGTCGAAAGAAAATACTCATGGGTACAGAGGACGTATCGGATGAACCCCAGTCGGGCTACCTCAGGAAATTGAGAGACCTCGCCAGAAAAGGCCGGAAACACCGCAAGCGGCAGAATGAGATTGATAAGGAGAAGGGCCTGGTTGTTTGGGATGGTGTGAAGCTTTGATACCTCTGCGCCAAGGTGTCTTTTCTCCGAACACTGTACTGTAGCTTTATTTGGTTACTGCATATATTAACTACTGTAATATAATCTTGGCGTTGGGTGTACTGTACTTGATATCCCATGTGATGAGAAGTTATGTCATAAATTCCAGGCGTTCTAGTGGCGGCCTGATTATTTTGAAATTGTGCTGTTCTCCTCTACGGAGTACAGTCAGTGTCCAAGTCCACTAATCAACCAGTTCAATCATGGTTAACGATTCACAGTATATATACAAATCTGCTGCCTAATATATGTACACTCAGCCCGCAAATATCAACGATACCATGTAAGTAATAGGTGACAAATAGATGCTCAAAACAAATTCCAGCCAGTTCATATACACGAATTTGGCCTGTGCCAACCAAATAGTATAATAGCATACATAGCATTAGCATGCAAACAGTATCCATGAGTTCCCATGGAGGCGAGTTGGTTCCCCCCGGCGGTTGTTATTCTATATTCATTATCGATTAAGTCGTGCTGAGATGTATGAGGGAACAACGGTATGCATGTCCCGTAGGACAAGTCCGAAATGATTTGGCATAACCAAGAAAGGAAATGCAACCGAGTCATGCGTCAAGAGCGCAAAATGCACTTCAAAAGCGAATGTGTTTGTTGTCTGGATCATTGTTTATTTTTTTCGAAGATGGACGGATGATGATAGATGATGGGGGCGTGAAGGCGAGCGAAGTTGGCGCAAAAGGCGCATGATATACAAGACTGAAGGGAGGGTATCAAGCGTAAAAGTAGGATTTCCAAGCATCTGCTTTTTCTCAAAAGCGAGCAAAGAACTGGAGCGAGTGAGGGCGTAAAATGAGCTTCAACCGGTTTAGCGCGAGTATTTTCGAGTAGTGAGTCGACAATGGGATTCAAAGTGGTCAGTCATTTAGGCTCATAAATCATCGTTGAGATACCCATGAAAGAATGCGAAATACCTCAGGAGTTTGAGATGAAGAATGGCTTAATGAAGTTCTCCGAGGTCAAAACGGGGAGGTGACCAATCCAGAGTCGGCGGTCTATCCTCAACAACACACACCGTTCCGTTCATGGCCTCCATCTTTTTTCGTTCTCTCGAAGAAAGAAATCCTCTCAGCGTCGAGGAAGCGGCTCCATAAGTGCTCCTTGCGCTTGCGCCCGTTCCGGTGCTCGTGGAGACGGTGCTCGAACTACGGGCACTGCGAACACTGGTTGTTTTGCTCACCGTGGATGGCATGACAGGGACTGGAAGTGCAGAGCGAGAGTTCGATAGGCTGTAGTCCGACGAGAAGATCTGAGAAGCGACCTCTGAGTTCGATGACAGGTACGGTGATTTCTGGAGTTCATCGTCCAGCCCGCTCTCCACATCAAGGCTTTGGAATATCTCCAGATGTGGACTTTGGTCTGCTATTGTGGGCTGCGGCGCAGTTTGCGGCGGCGTCTGGAGGTTGGGCTCTGGTACCTCATTCGTAGAAAGCGTCACATCGAGCTTAAGCTGCTCTAGCATAGTCCCGAGGCTGGCAGCGGTCGCCGGTCGTCCGTCGCTTTCGGCGTCGTCAGCGGCAAAATCGGTCTCGACCCTGTCGATACGATTAACCAGGTTGAAATTCCTGAAAAGGTATCGACGCAAACGAGAGACTTCTGCGTCCCATTTCGAGCCCAACGACTGCAAGATAGCCTCGACCTGGTCGTCCACGGGTGGTTTAGAGCTCTCAACAGCCGAAAGTGAGCTTGCAGTGGCACGAATATGACCATAAGAACGTGAATGCTTGGCAAATTTGCTATTGACAGATATATGTTTGACGTTCATCGCAGCATGTAATGACCGGCGTAATGAACCTGTTGCCGAGGGTTGGGTGTGATTCAAGTCCCGTTTAACATTCGCGATTTCCCGGCGTACCTTGTCAAGTGACCGGGCTCTATCGCGGTCCATACACGACAAGCTTAGCAAAGATCGATTCTTCTGTAGCCCATTGACAAGTACTGTAAACGATTGCAGATTGATATCATTGTTTTCACAATAGACCTCAAGAAGACTGGTATTGTTCTCCAGCACGGAAGCCAAAGTGTTTGCGCCTTGCAGTCCGAGTTTCTGGTGCTCAATTCTCAGAACCTTGAGCGAGTTGTTTTTCTTCAGGCCAGTCAGAGCCAGGTTGAGGCCAATTCCGAACCGCGCTACATCCAGGTGTGCATTGTCGCCGCTGATGTCCAGGTCCTCCAAGGTATCATTCTCTTCAAACATCAGTTGCAGTGACTTTGACGTCTCCAGGCCGGCGTCGTACGGAAGAGACGCCTTTGAGATATCAAGGTATTTCAGTGAACGATTCCGGCGCAATGCCTCGACTAGATTCTGAAATTGCTGCTCCTTCTTGAAATCGATCATCCTCATCGACAAATGAGATGGCGTTTTACCTTGAGCGATGGCATCGCAGAGGTAGGAGCAACCAAGGTCTAGTCGGTTGTCGTTCACGTGGAGATGGAGATCACGGCCATGCTGCAGCGCCGCCAATGAGTGAAGGAAGATGGCCACATCCTGCCCGGTGAGGCCGCATTGATCGAGTCGGATAGTCCGTAAGCACTCAGAACGGTCACTTGCGAGGTATGTGGCGATAGCATCGACTGTCTCCCTGTTGACCTGGGTTTGGCTTAGCGAAAGCTCTTCGAGTCGCCAGTTAAACAGGACTTGAGCTGGAATGAGAGGCTCGGGGTCTGAGGTCCTCGAGATGCGTGATAAATCAAGCCTCTTGACTTGGCCGAAGTAACCAAGGTACTGTTGCAGCATATCTGGTTTTATCCGGCCCTGTATGCCAGAGATATTAATGGCCTCAAGAGTTGATACTTGGGCAATTGTTGTTGAAAGAAGCAGGTCGATTTCATGGACAGATAAACCGCAATTTCCCACTTCAAGCGCTCGAAAATGACTACTGCGCTGGGAGGCAGCATCGACGAGATAGTCAAGATCAGAGTCTCCGAGTTTGATCCCATTCAGAACAATCCAGTCAACATTTGTGAGCTCACGCCGACAGATAGGAAAGATAGCTTCTGGGATCCCGCACCCTGGGTCATGGCTGTCACTGTCGGACTTGGGCGTTCTGCTAAGGGTATATGAAAAGTCTAGACGACGAAGCCACTTGCTTTTCAAACTTAGTGCGCGGACTTCTTGTGAGAGAACTGACAGATTTTCTTGTCCCGGGATGTGAATTTGTGCATCTGCACGGGTAAGTAGCGCATCTTTATCACTCCCGTTGGGATCTCGCAGCACTTGAATTGCATCCAAGCTGACTCCGCTGAAAGAGATGGACCGAAACGACTCGTTATACCTCAGTGTTCGCATGAGCGCGATCAATTCCAAGGCCGTATATTTACTTCTTCGAGGCGAAGCAGGACGTAGCAATTTGAAGCAGGGCGCATCATCGCATTCGGTATCAATAGTGTATCGGATGTTGGAAGTGTCGAGGCCGTAGCTAGCGCAGTGGGCGACCAATGTTCGGTCGAAACAGCCATAGTCCTCGTCAAGACACACTGGGGGGAAGTTGCTTTCGTTGTTCAGATCGCGGGGCACAATAAAGTCATACGGTTGCTTGAGCCACAGTGGGCGCAGGAACTCCGTCTGTTGTCTGATCCAGTAGGCGATCTCCAACGAGTGGACTGACGCCACGAATATCGAACATGACTTCTGAAGAGGAATTCGGAAAGTCAAGTGCAGACTATCGTCGCCCCACTCCATGGACAGACTGGTCAAGTTCATGAGGCCGAAAGAACCTGCGGTGTCGAGGTCGGTCAGAGACACAGCAGAGCCACGGTTAGTAGTTCTTTGCAAGGAAACGAGATGGAGCTTGTGCATTCCGAGGGCGAGATAACATCCGCTTGGCGACAGCTTGGTAAGCTCGTCCGACGACGCCCGCGTCGGGGACTTGCTGGAAGCCATCTGGATGACTCGGAACATGCGGAAGGTCTCTGGGTCGTAGTCGCGCTCGTGTTCCAACATCCTGGTTACGCAGTCCAATGCCCTTGGGTCAAAGGGCATAGGAGCGTTGTTGCGAGACATTTCAGCCGCAGATCGAACTCCAACCATCCACAGATTGAGCTCCTGGGGATCCGGGGTTTGCATCTGAATGAACGTGGTTTTCTGCGTCCGCTCATCCATGTATGCTACCTCTACCGAAGACGAAGGTTTTCCATCGTCGAGCATGTAGACGGCAACAATACTGTTTAGAGGAATACCAGCGGAAGCATCACCCATGGCGGAAAGCTGCGGATCTTGCAGAGAGCTGATCGAGGCAATTGACTGTCGGTTTCCGGCTGCTCGAGCCATTGACGGGGGAATTGACGGGAACGTTTCCAGCGCTTTGTTCATGTTTTTGAACCGGACGATGTGCGTATCTGTAAGAACCAAGTACTGGCTCTTCTTCCTCCATACCCCGCCAGTAATCTGGATCTCTCCATGATGTAAGATAATTGATCCGACCCCATTCCCTTCCTCGCTGTCAACAGAACGCCGATTCGGGTCATCATCGTCGAGTGATTGAAGCGACCGGAGAGAGCCGAACACTGAATTCCGTCTCTTTTGTAGTGACTTTCGGCGAGTTCGCGCCCCATCGAGGGCGGGTGAAGTGGTCACCCTGGCTGGGCCTGCGGTTACCGGGTCGAGGAGACCTGTGGATGCTCTCGCTGGGCTGGGGTTCCGGCCCCCAAAAAACCCGGAATTGCGCCGCTGTTTCTTTTTCAGAACATTCGTCTCGTGTGTCGTAGATCGGTCAAGCGGGATCGGACCGGGAGTCGAGGTCGTCGACAGCGGGCCGAACGAGCCCAAACTCTTTCTTCGCTCTCTCTTTCCCAAACTTTGCGCCATCACGGTGGAAGAGCCCGGAAGCCAGAGAAAGAGGAGAGGCAAAGGGCAGTCGAGGGGCTAGGTGGGAGAGTCGGATTGCGTGAGGAGCAATCGTCACATCGAGGCCGCGTGGTGTCGCACTCACTAATAGGCGGAAAGAAAGAAGGTTAGTGGTTGCCGGACGATACGCAACGGCAAGCATTGAATGGACACGATGCAAGGCGAGCTAAGGGGATAGCAATTCGAAGGGTGGAGAAGAGAAGAGACGAAGCAAATCGGGGAGCAAGCAGGAGAACCTTGGAAGAGGAAAGGTGGAACATACGGCAGCCTTCAGGGAGCCATGGATGACCGATGAAGAACAGCAGCAATAATATAGCAAAAGACAGGAAGCTCTGGAAGTGCTCGATTGGTAGAAGAAGGGAAGATGCGAGATTCGAGAAGGTCAGAGGTGTCCCCTGCCCTTCCCCAGCAGTAGCACGCAGTCAAGACTGAGACAACGGCCCAATTAGAAACAGTGGAAGCAGAAGGACCTTGACCCAGAGATCCCCCGATCTGATGATGTCAATTTGCAATAATGGCCGACCAAAGCTCCGAAATTATGACCGGCACGCGAAGCTGGCAGGGAGGCAATTTGACAGCCAGAGCTTTTGAAGTCAAGAGGTTCACCCTGGTGACCCTACTGTCCCATCGGGCACCTGAATGCAATGAGCATTCCCGAAGCGGATACAAGCATCCACCGCCGCATTTGTTACACAATCAAGCAATCTACGTCAGTAACCCCCTGATGCCTGCTTGAAAGTTGGCCTCGTTAACTTCAATAATATCTCGACTCCATGTCTTCTCATCATCCAGATTCGCCGCCGTTGTTCCAGAATGCCGGCTGCTAGTCCTTTAGGCTTTAGCTAGCTGCTGCATGGGGTGCGCAGAGAGGATCCATTCCACTTTCAAGTTGCCTGAATCGCCTCATCTGAGCGACTGAGAATCTGCGACTGAGACAAACCGAACCAATGCTCGTCTGAACGACGCGCGTCTGAGAATTGCCAAACGTACAAAGTATGCAGTGTCGCTTTGCCGCCTTCACTGCTGTCGAATATTGACATTACAGCGCCAACTCTTGGTTTCTGGTGCCTGCCACCCCTGTGGTAGGTTGAGGTTGTGACTTGACCCGTCCATGAATCGGTCTTGGCGTCGGACTCGGCCTAGCCTGCCGTCCGGAACCGGATCCCCGTTAATTCTCGAGATCGACGAACTACTTCATCCGGACTCTGAGCTCTCCGGCTTACGAATCGTCGTGGCATGCAACAAACAGCAGTTCCTCAAACCCAAGCCCCCCCGGTCTGGGCAGCGACGCCACAAGATTCAAGAATAAGATGAATCGGAAATGACGCCTTTAAGGCTGAGTCCCTCGTAATTTCTCGTACGCTGAGTCTGGACTCTAAGCTCTCACTGTGGCCGCGGAATCGGCACCGTCTAGAAGCAGCTAACTATAGCTATGCGCGGTAATAATAACGACGTACTCCATACGAAGTACTAAATAAGGATATTGTACAGTCTCGAACGGAGGGCCCACAGTGTCGCCAAGGAGTCTCAAGTTCTCGATCCAGCAAACATGAAACAAGCCTAGCAAAGCTCTGTTGCTCCTGAAGAAATATGAACCGCAGTTTCGGTACGACTTTGTTCATGCCGCTCGGCGATTTATTCAAGGTATCGAGCCTCCCGTTGCGCCTGTAACCGCTCCGCGCGTTTCGCCTTCCGGATGCTGTTTATATAGGCATTGACCCTGTGTTCGGCCCATATACATCCACCAAGAGTCATGGCCGCAATCTGAAGAAAGACTTTGAATTGCGGTGTCAACCCCCTGTAGATCTTGGATGTGGGGGAGAGCCACTCTGAAAACCCTTCCAGCGGGCGGTAAAACAGTCTGGACCGAATGTACTCTTTTGAAATGGGTGAAGGGCCTGACGACCGCTGGGCATGTCCCTGCATAGGCTGTGGATGGCCGGACGAGGTGGTCGAGAACTTTAAGGGATGAGGGAGGATCATGATCATATGCGCAAGGATAGAAACTGAACCGAACTATATTTCGTAACCAGTGTCAGTATTCCGTACGACTGTCCCATAGAGCGTGGACTCAAAAAAGCGGCTGTCAAGGTTGTGCGCGGTTATCGAGATTCGAGGCATACCCGGAAAGCACCTGTCAAGAAGCCACGAACCGCCTCAGAGGTGATCTCCTCCGGCGGTTCAACGTCCACTCGTTGCGAGGACGGAGGTGGCATTGTAATAGTTTGAGCTCACAGAGTCCCAGGCTATCATTCTGTCTACAAAGTACACTACGGCGATTAAATTGCACCGCATCAAAGCCCGAGCAGAGTAAAGATGACGCAGCCGGATCATTATTGCTCCGGCTCTCGGTAATACCAATACACGGGATAAGTCCGTCGAAGAAAAAACCCGGGAGCAACCAACAGCAACACTTCTATTATTCAACAACACCCATTTCGAATTGAGCTCAGTACACGATCCAGACTACCGCTTAACAGACTTGATCACCTTGTTCAAATAAATTGAAGCAGACGACCCGTCAACTCCGATCCTCAAACCACCACAATGCCCCTCCCCGCCCGCACAGCATCGCTCTCGCGCAACACCAACGAGACCAAGATCCAGGTCTCACTTTCCCTCGACGGTGGTGTTCTCCCTCCTTACGAGCCCTCGACGATCTTTTCCGCTCCCTCCGACCCCCAGGAAGCCGAAGCCGCTAAGAAGGGCATTGTCCCCAACAAAGATGCCGCACATGCAACTCAGTTCACGCCGACGCAACAGATCACCATCAGCACGGGAATCGGATTCCTAGACCACATGCTGCATGCGCTTGCTAAGCACTCTGGGTGGAGCTTGGCTATTCGTGCTAAGGGAGACCTGTACAGTACGTACCTTCCCGCCAGATTAGAAGGGGAAAGAGCATAGTGTGTACTGATTCCATTTGCGCAGTCGACGACCACCACACCACAGAAGATACCTTCCTCGCCCTCGGTGCCGCATTCACTACTGCCCTTGGAGCCCGGCAATCCCTCGCACGATTCGGCCGCGGCGACGCGCCCCTCGACGAGGCCCTCTCCTGGGCTGTCATCGATCTTTCCAGCCGGCCGTGGGCTGTCATCAACATTGGTTTCAAGCGCGAGAAGATCGGCGATCTCAGCACGGAGATGATCACACACGGCCTGCAGAGCTTCGCTCAGGCGGCTGGGGTTACCCTTCACATTGGCTGCACGTACGGCGACAACGACCACCACAGGGCAGAGAGTGCGTTCAAGGCTCTGGCTGTTGCTATCCGCACGGCCTGCGCACGGAAGGTAGAGGGTGAGGTCGGTGCGGGAGATGTGGTCAGCACAAAGGGCGTGCTCTAATTCAACATTTCTACTTACGTACATGCTATGCTACCCCATGTCATGCCATGACATTCGAGACGCAGTCACGAACACTAACATGCGAATAAAACCAAAAATAATATGCACTAAGGAAAGCAACATTCAGGCGTACCATGCAAGACCCACCAGACTGACCTCAGCCGCAGGGGCCAAAAGCAAAGAGCCGTCCTTCAGGATTTTAAGCCCCCAAAGCCGTCACGGCACTAGACCAGTAACCTCTGCGCGCCTCATCCGCCTCAGTCACCACACATCCAGTAATAAACGCCTTCCAGCCTTCCTCCCCGTTGTTCTGAAGACCCGACCGCACAGTCTCATTACACTGCGTAGTCAGGAACCAAGCCCCGGAACCGTAATCCAGAACGGGGTCTTGAAGGAGCAGATCCAGAACAGGGCCGGGCTGATCCTGGACTTTCGCGAATTCGTCCGCAATCTCCAGGATCGAGGCGGCGTATAGCTTGTTGAAGTCGACGGATTGCATGTTGCGCGCTGTACAGACAGGATTAGCGTCATCCCGAACATCAAGCAAACATCGGTAAAGAATGAGGAAAATGTATACATACTTCCCTTGCCCACAGTACCTGGTTCCGGCCAGTGGTTCTTGTTGTACCGGAACTCGCCGCTCTCCATGGCCATGAGGCCTAGCACAGCAGCCTGCTCAGCCTTGTTGGTGAGGCCATATTTCGTGAAGGCTTCGGACACCGCAGGGGCAGCCTGCTCCGCAGTACCACACTCGGAGACAAAGTCGACGGCGCCGTCACATGATTCAGACTTTGGCGCAATGGCGATTATTTGCTCGGGCGTGATGGTTACTGTTGAGTCGGATGGGCCTTGCGAACAGGGAGATGCTCCCGTTAGGGCTAGGAAGGTCAGGGGGACGAGGGAGGTGAACTTCATTGTGACGATAAGTTCTGAGGTTCCTAGATAGGTTGGTAGAAGAAAAGGAGCTATGAGCTATGAAGACGAGGTATTGAAAGATGTTGGACTGGCAGCAGAGTGTCCAGGAATGGGGGGTCTTATAGGGCTGCAGACAAAACACAGCCGCTACGGCTGAAGGGGGCATTGTCAACTAGCACGGGATAGGGGGATTCCTTTCAACATGCCAGGGCCCAGAAAGTGGGCAGGGAGCAGCAGGCCAACAAGGCTCAAGCGAACAAGCCACTCAAAGGCGAGAGAATGTTGATCCTGTGAGCTGACAGACCGTTGTTCTATAAAACGTGGAGACGCCGATCTCTGAGTGGTCGCTCTGGGCGTGTCCTGAAACATGCCGCACAAAGCAGGCTGCACGCCTGAAACGGTGCCTGAGCCTCTGCTGTCGTCTAACGGACCATTCAGGGTCCCAAGCAAGGGTCTACTGGGAAATGCGGAGATTGCAGACTCTAGAATCTTGACATTATGATTATCTGTCGGCGGCTCAGCGAGCTCCAGGCATCTGAAACGCTGACAGCACATCCACCAATTTGCGGCAAGTCTATATGAACCTTTCAAGCGGTTAAAAGCATAGGGTAAAAAAGGGGCACAAGAAGCGAAAACGCTCGCGCGAAAAGTCTAGTAAATCAAGACATCCAAAGAAGAGAAGAACGGCAGATAGTGGGCGGACTGCGCTGCCTAGCAGATCACACCGTATACAGATCACAAGACATCTTGCCAAAACATGTACAAGAACCAATGCTCTAAAAAGCGCTCGGTCAATCAGGATCCCAGAACTCCATACATGCGCTGAAAGAAAAACAGATCCCCTGGGACGTCACGTGGTCCCTACTCCCGGGGTAGATTCATTGACAAAAGAGCAAAACAAAACCCGTTGAAAGGCCGTAGAGCGGGCACAAACAATTGAGACAAGCAATTAGAGAAGCCGCTCAGTCGCGTCGGCTGACGTATTCGTAAGAGGTTTCGGTAGGACCCGCTTCTTCATCTTTGAAACTGACCCGGCGAAGTAAGATGGGCATCACACCACGCGAGCGACGCGATGGAGACGGCAAGCGAAGACCTGGGATCTTGCTATACCGATAGCGATACTTAGCGCCGAGAAGGAGTAATCGACCGTAAGCCCACCACAAGCACAATCCAACCGCACCGGCAAGAACAAAACCCGCGACAGTAAGAAGCATCCAGTGCTGTCCCATCCAGAAGATCAACCTGGCGTCTTTTCCGTGCCAGCTGTTGCCCACGTGATGCGTAAAGAAGCTCCAAGAGAAACGGTTGTACTCGTCCTGCATGAGAATACGAACACGGGCCGCTTCGGCGGGGCTCTCTGCCATGTATTCTTTCCAGATCACGGACAAGAAAAGCGGGCCGGTCGAATACATGACTGTAATGTACGGGAGGAGCCAGCTGCGGTCGTACGACTGCAGCATTTCAATCACACGGAGGAAGAATGGGTGTTGAGGAACAGAGCCCATAGCGTCGTTAGAAATACCAGTCGGGGCGGTGCGACGAACCCACGCGGGGTATGACAGGAGAGGATCTAACCGTCGGTTGCAGCCCTAATCAAGTCAGTAATTGCCCCTCTCTCACTGAATATAAGGAAACTCACATCGTCAAGATCGATGTAGGTGCCTCCGTAATGAGCCAAGACAAAGTAGCGGATCGAATCCGCACGTTGAATAGGATACTTATAGTTGTCAAACGTGTCGAGGAACCAGGGGTATTCGGCGGCAATAAATTTGCGAGATTTCTCATTCGTCCAAAGCTGTTGTAATTAGCGTCGCTCTCTCGCAAACAAGACAAAGGGGCCACGTACGATGTATTCATAGTCCGGATGCAAGTCGATGCAACTTTGCTGGGCTTCCTGCCATACTTCGGGAATTGACTCGTTCTTGTATGTTTGGTGGATGATCTTGGGGATCTTCTGGGGTCGCTGCTCAATCAAGCTCGAGTTTGGCGAAGGAAGTTCCGCGCGGTGGATCGCATCAGCGGAGGCATCCTCTAACAACAGTGATAAGAGTGTAGAGACGCTGCGAATGAGGAAGGTGACGATGAGGAGGTTGACGACGAGGAAAACCAGGAGACCGCGACGCATGGTGGAGATTGTAGGATGTTAACACGCCTTCTTCGATAAGTATAGACGTTCGATGCTAGCAAGACAAAAAATGATGTAGATTTCAATTCGTAAATTCGTGGCAATGAGAGGTCCTCGAGTATATGGATAATCGAGAGCGGAAGTTGTCTCCGCGAAACGCGACAGGCCGTAGAAGGACAAATAAACGACGAGTTCAACGACGACAATGTTTCACAAGCACCAGCGGAGTTGCAGCAGGGCCCGTACTCGACCACGGCGATGATGATTGAGGCCGACAGCAATTGTCGGGAGCAATTGTTAAGCCAGTCAAGGACTCGAGGTTGTCGTCGGAGAAAAGTCCGCCGTCCGGTTTTGAGTTTCCCCTTAAGCTTCCCCAAGTAAATTAGAATTGGAAGGAGCGGAAGACTCAAGCTCGTTACTTGAAGCGAGGCAATGGTAATATAGTTGAGATAGACACTCTCACACGAAACTAAAATAGTTGCAACCCCAAGAATTGAAGAAAAAGGAGGATGGACGAGAAGGTAAAAGATGATTAGGGAAGGGATCTTCTCTTGTAGTGTGAAGCCGTTGGGAGAGGGGCCAAAGGCGAAATAAAGCGAAGGCAAGTAAGGGGAAATTGGCGTGATTTTAGTTAAAGAACGAGAGAAGGTTAAAATAATGTTTAAAGGAAGGAACGACGCAACTTAGCATCAAATTATTCAAGAGAGGGTGGGAGCCTGGGTGGGAGGTTGAAGGAGAGAAAGTCTGGAGACAAGTCTGCCGTTGGTTTGGACGCCGTGGGTGGGCGGAGCGCGCCAAATGGCCTGCCGCCATTCAAAAGGGGGACACGCAAATTTGTGGAGGACTTGGGGCTGAGCCTCCGCCACTGTCAGCTTTATTTACCCTTTATGCTTCTTGGTTGCTTCGCCGGCGTCGCTGTGATGGTGATACAGCGTAACCCGTCTCCGAGTCCGACCCTGGCGTGCTGTGGTCTTACGGAGTACTTTCAACTTGCGAGCTTTCAACAACGATTTCATTATCATTATAATTGTCACCATCGCTCCGAGGTTGAGCGCTAAGCGCAGTCCTTCTCCGTATCCGTGTCTGGCGTGTGCAGTAGTGGGCCGCTATGCTGAGCCACCCGTCCGGTCGCCTATAGCAGCTCTAGCTGAGTGCTAAGACTGACGGTTCCTGCCTATAAGATAATTCGGGCTTAGATTAATATTTCCAGCCTCGCAAGTTGTCCATTATTTCTCCACTTGGTGGCTGTTCGTCAACTGCGTCTCCTCCAGGAAAGGATACGCGGGCCCTTCGTCTCCAACCTCCAAGACTCCAACAGGGAAGCTCCATAACGTGCATAGTTTCTATTTCTATCACATGGAATCTGGGATGGAAGGTTTCCCGTGGACGCACCTTATTCGCATATGGATCTCTTTTTGGCAATTGGATCGAACAACAGACGCCTAGCCTCCGGAGTGTGTCTCAACTACCTACGTAAGGATAAGGGGTTGATTTACGTATGTATCAGAAGCTGAGGCCAAGGTGAAACACGCGGCTGAAAGCGAATTACATTCTACCGAACGTTTCATTGTTACTCTGTACTCTCTCTGTATCTCTCTCCAATCCTGTCTACGACTCGTCCTAACAGACAGGAGAATGAACCCTGGATCTGCGTAACAGGCCGCGCAAATCAGCCAAATCTCCGCCTTGATTGGCGAAACATTCGGCCGTCTATCATGGGTCTTTTCCGAACTTAATTCCTAATTGCAAATTTCATCTTTTTTGCACGGATTTTGTTGGGGATCCTCGTTCTTGGACCGGAGAATCATGCCTCCGGCTCGTGGCTCCGCGGACCTCGTACTCGTATACCTATCCTTACTTGCCAGCGGAATTACTCCGGCGCAATCAGAGCGGCCATTGTCAATTCTCGTGAGTTTCAAGGAGTCATGCTCTGACTGTCAAAATCGTAGCTGTGACTGGCGATAGCTCGTAAATCATCACAGACATGCCACGGGCAGAGGGGCAAAGTTTGATTGGTGCCAGTGCCGATTTGCCAAGCGGCATCGGTCACACTCAACAATCACTCGAGACTTCCATGGGACCCTTGAGAGCCTTGACCCGAGTGCGAATCTTGGGACTAAAGCCAGGTGAATATAGAGTGTGGGTGATCGACAATTGCTACAAATTTTCCGATTAGGGCAAGTAAGGTATCCTGGCGCTTAAAGACCATGACGCCCCGGATCAATCATTGCCAGGCCAAGTCCAAGCCTAACCAAAAGCATGTTATCTACGAAATACGCTTACGAGGGGGGTCGAAAGACATTCCCGATCGAGGTTCACTCTGTCCAAAGTAAGATCCATATAGCTGAGGATACCTACGACGTCTCCAGTCGTAAGGCTTAGGCGAAGCCACTATAGATGACAGCTGAGCTCGCAACACGCGTACTGTAGTACTGCATGCACTGCCATGACAGATATAGAACTGGCACTCAACCTTATGCTGGTCAAGCATGGCGATAATCCTCATTGGCAGTCCGGGTATGGAGTTGCCAGATATGCAACACTAGCTTACGACCACACTACTCCGTCTGACAGTGGCTGGCAGCCTGGCACAATGATAACGGTTGCCTGGGCAGTGACGTAGCAAAATAGAGATCTTTCGGTTCGGAGTTCAGACTGGTCTACTTCGCGTCTTCGCCATCTAAATTTTCCGCGACCCAGGATTCGCTTCCTCCCCAGTTCCACCCAGAATAACCAAGTCCCACATTAATTGCGCGAGGCCGGAACGAAGTGGAGGCCCGCGCACGATAAATCGTAGGTCCCGGCTCCCGGTCACGTGAGCTTTATTAGGGATTATATAAAATAGTAAAATTACTTAGGGTTGCTATAATTAATTAAAAAAAAATATTATTATATAACCTTTTTTTACCACTTAAACTTACAGCGTTGGGGTTACTATAATTAATTAAAAAAAATATTATTATATAATCTTTTTTTATTACTAAGTTCTTATAATATTATTATTTATTATTCCTGGCCTTAATTTTTATATTTAAATATTATATAGCCTATATTTATAAAGTTAAATATAATATTAACTGCTTGTTATACTAAATATAGTTATTAACTTTTAATAATATAATTTTAGCATGTTATAGGCTATAAGCCTGCTAAAACTTATATTAATTATAAAAATTAATAGGTGCTTTAGGTTTGCGCGGCTTTATTTATATATTATTATTATTAATATAATTTTAAAAAAAGTAAAAAGCACTTTACTATAGTTACTAATTTTTTTAATTTACTTACTTAATACCCCCCTTTTAGTAAAACTAACCTAAATATATAATAACCGCGCCTATTATAGCCAAAGCTAAATTATTAATATTATAATATATACTTATTTAATAACTTATAATAAGTAAAATAATATTATAAAAATATAAAATAATAGCATGCCTAGTAAATAACTAGTTAAGTAATTTATATAATTATTTTTAGTAAACCCTAACCTTTTTATTTATTTTTAATATAATTATTATTATTAATAATATTTATAATTTTTATATTATTTTCCACGCCCGTAATAGCTATATTTTTACTATTACTTATACCTTGCCTGCTGGCTAGGCGCCCGTAGCTAGCTATTATTATTAATAAAAATAATATTAAGTTAAATATTAATAGCTTTACTATTATAAGCTCCTAGTTAACTATTAAAAATAAATTACTTTTACCTTTGCGGACTACTAAAGTTAACTCTAGCTTTTTTATACACGCAGGCCTAAATTATACTTTCTTACTATATTTATTTTTTTTTATTAATTTTATATATTTAGCTATTATAAACTATAATTAAAAGCTATTAAATAACTTTTACTACTAGCTTAACACACACTAGTTAAAAATATATAATTATTATTAAAAATAATGGTTTAATATAAACCTTTAAAAAAAAAATAATATTTATAGGTATTACGTGTTAGCTAACTAAAATTAAAAGATTTTTAAATTTAGTTTATAAAATAAGATAAATCCTGGTAATATTTTTTTTTACCTTTTAAAATTAACATAAATTAAGGAAATACTAATTATAAAAATTTATGTGTTTATTAAGGTTTATTATATTTAAAATTATTAATATTTATATAAAGGTTATATTATTAACTTTTTATAAAATACTAGTTAAGTATATAAATAGCTCCTGCTTTTACTTAAAAAACTTAAGGTATTAATCTTACGGCTATTTAATTTTAGTATAAACTAAAAAATACACCTATAGTTTTATTATAATTTTAAAATATAATACTAAGTAGTTAAATAATAGCTAGATTACCTTTAGGTAAACTATCCAAGGTACTAAAATATAATTAAAAATAACTATAACCTTATATAGTTACTAAAAAATAAACTAGTTAATTATTTTATCTTAAACCAGGAACTAGCTGGTAAGCTAATTACCCTAAATAATAATTAATAAGTAAACCTTAATAATATACAAGCGCCTAATATAATTATAATACTTAATTTACTTATAATAACCATAAAGCTTAAGGCTTTATAAGTTATAATAAATAATACTACTAAGCTAGTGCGTAATAACCCTTATTTAACTTTTTTTTTATTTTATATAATACTATTATTTAAGTTTAATTACTTGTAATAATTACTATTACTAATATTTTTTACCCTTTTTTCTTATAATAATATAAAGCTAGTTATAACACACCCGCGCAAGGTATTATTTATAAATTATATTAAATACCTACTTAAATATAAAAGTGGCTGTTTTACACGGCATTCCTGGTTTTAATATATTTATTTTAATATAATTTATTATTAGTAAATAAATTAATAAGCTAGTTTTTATATTTATAACCACGCGCCCGGCCAGCAAGATATTTTTATAAAAAAGTTATAGGCAGCCTTTTAATTAAATATAGTTAAATTATTTATACTACTAAGTTTTATTACTAGTTTTTTTAAAACTATTCGCGGTACGCGGCTATTTTAATATAATA